TCCCTGGTTACTCACCCCCCACCACAAAAAAAAAAAAAAAAAGAGGTTGCGAAGGGGAGCTATGTAATTATCTCAAGCTTAATGTAAACAGATTGCAGAGACAGATGAGGGTTAATTTTTTAAATCTGTTTTTATCCCTAATATATGATCCTAAGATTGGATTATGAGACAAATAAAGTCCAAAATAGGAAGATAGTAAAAAGACCCCAATGCTTTAAATGAATTCCCTTCCAAGCCAGAAATACACAGGACAATGAATGAGTACACCTCAGCTTGGAGGCAAGCTTTGAGTGATCAGAGAGTTCTGTCCTTTGTCCTATCAACTGGCTCTATTCTAAGCAGCTTGGATGAAGACAAAGTTGTCATGCTTTTTTTTAAACCCTGGATGTCAAAGTTGATAATGATAGGTAATATGTTGTATGCCAGATAACATTTTAAGAAATCCTGACAGTCTATAGTGAGGGATCAAAGATATTCTTTGGAAGACTCCTCAGAAAACTTGGAATGGACCACCATTTGACCCAGCTATCCCACTCCTCAGTTTATAGTTAAAGAACTTAAAATCAGCATACTACAGTGCTGCAGCCACATCAATGTTTACAGCAGCCCAAGTTACAATAGCTAAACTATGGAACTAATCTAGATGCCCTTCAACAGATGAATGGGTAAAGAAAGTATGGTACACATACACAATGGAATACTACTCAGCCATGAGAAGAATGAAATTATGGCATTTGCCAGTAAATGTATAGAACTGGAGAACATCATGCTAAGTGAAATAAGCTAATCCCAAAGAACCAAAGTCCAATTGTTTTCTCTGATATGTGGCTGTTAGTTCACAATGGTGGGGGGGCGGGGGACACTAGGAAAGAATAGAGGTACTTTGGATTAGGCAGAGGGGAGTGAAGGGAAGAAAGGGGTATGGGGTTAGGAAGGATAGTAGAATGAATAGGACATTATTACCCTATGTGCATATATGATTACACAACTGGTATGATTCTACATCATGTACAACCAGAAGAATGACAAGTTATACTCCATTTATGCAAGATGTGTCAAAATGCATTCATTCTACTACCATGTATAACTAATTAGAACAAACAAACAAATAAATAAATAATAAAAGACATTCCTTTGAAAAAGACTAGAGGGGTCATACCACTTCAGCTGATCCCAACACCCACAAGTCCTAATTTGCCTTAGGCAGTGGATGGACTGGCAGAGTACCATTGGGATAACCTGTCCTTTGCTCTCAGGAATAAAAGAGAATGGGAATAAGGAGATGGTAGACTTTTGACTGGAACCACATGGGGGACAAGGGGAAACAGATTTCAACATAGCAATTCAAGTTTATTTATAGACCTTGGCCTAGTCCATTGTCAGATTCAGATTCTGAGTTTTTGTTTTTTGGTTTTTTTTTTTAATATGACAGTAGAATGCATTACAATTCTTATTACACATATAGAGCACAATTTTCCATATCTCTGGTTGTATACAAAGTATATTCACACCAATTCATGTCTTCATACATGTACTTTGGGTAATAATGATCACCACATTTTACCATCATTAATTATCCCATGCCCCCTCCCTTCCCCTCCCACCCTTCTGCCCTATCTAGAGTTCTTCTATTCCTCCCAAGCTCCCACTCTCTATCCCACTATGAATCAGTCTCCTTATATCAAAGAAAATATTTGGCATTTGGTTTTTTGAGATTGGCTAACTTCACTTAGCATTATCTTCTCTATCTCCATCAGATTCTGAGATTTTATAACTACAGTTACCCATAGTTATTTTAATTGTGTAAAGTCCATCTGTTCCCTAGAATTAGGAGCGATACAGTTCTTAAAATAAATAAGTCCTAATCGGGTACAATAGTAAATGCCTCTAATCCCAGCAATTTAGGAGACTGAGGCAGAAAGATTGCAAGTTCAAGGCCAGACTGAGCAACTCAGTCAGACCCTGTCTCAAAAATTAAAAGCGGTGGGGATATAGCTCAGTGGTGAAGTGCTCCTGAGTTAAATCCCCAGTACTACCAAAAAAATAAAAATAAAAAAATAATAATAAAAATAAAGAAGTCTTGAGCTTAAAAGAGGCCCAGAAGAAGTATGGCATACCAAAGTAATTTTCAATCTCAAACTGTTTTTTTTTTTTTTAATTATATTCCTAATACAGTAAGCCATACCAACAAAAGGCATTTTTTAAGAATTAATGAAGTACACCAATATTCCTACATGCAACTGAACTTCAAAATATCTTAATGATAAGAATGAATGAATGAATGAATAGAGAATTAAACCAGTTAGGCTAACCATGTACATATGGACCAATACTGTCAATTGTCCTTTCAGAAACTCCAAGATGTGATCCATTTTTGGAAAATACAATGAAAATTCTACCTCCTACAATGCCAATGTGACACAGTATAGCACCATACTCAAATGACTCTGCTAAGGGCCATCATTGAGAAAGAATTGCATACCCATAAATTCCGCCATCTTAGAAAGGGATTGAGCAAAACCTAAACTATTTGAAGTTACTTAGCTACGGAAACTGTTGTGGAGGCACTTTAGCCGCATTTAGCCAAATTTCCAAATTAAGACTAGTATTAATATCTCCCTTAAAAACAAAGCTTAAAAGAGCAGCCATATCAATGTATATAGCAGCTCAATTCACAATAGCTAAACTATGGAACCAACCTAGGTGTCCCTCAATAGATGAATGGATAAATAAAATGTGATATATAAAAATATATTTTCAATGGAGATGAAAAAAATTATGGCATTTGCCAGTAAATGGATGGAGTTGGAGAATATCATGCTAAGTGAAATACACAAACCCCAAAAAACCAAAGGCTGAATGTTTTTCTGATATACAGATGCTAATTCACAATAAGGGGGTCATCAGGGAAGAATTAGGTAGAGGTGAGTAAAGGGAAGGGAAGGGAGGATATATGAGGATAGGAAGGACAGTAGAATAAAACAGACATTATTACCTTATGTATATGTATGACTGCATGACTGATGTGATTCTACAACATGTACGATCAGAAAAATGAGAAATGATATCCCATCTATGTATGATATATCAAAGTGCATAAACGCATTCTACTGTTATGAATAACTAATTAAAACAAACTTAAAAATTAAAAAAGAGAGTAGTATAGTTTTTTATAATTAAAAAAAAAAATCAAAAGAACCAGACATACAGGACCAATTACCTTAGCCTTTTTGAGCAGATCGACTATATCGAGATTCATGGAGGCCAATTCCCTGCTTGGCATGCTCTGTAGCTGTGTGATGATGAACAGCTCACAGATGTGCTGCAGCCTGGAGACTTGGTACATCTCAGCACAGATCAGGAGACACATGGCCTGGAAAATGCCAGCTAATAGAGAATAAGAGGAAACAGGTGATAAAACCTCTGCTTTCACAATCTAAAACACACACACACACACACACACACACACAGTGAAAGAAAAAAAAAAACATACTGGTGGTATCATCCAATGTGGACAAGAATGCCTAGGAAGAGCCTTGAGTATCAGCATTCTAAACCAATACGCATATTAAGAATTCCTCAGAGAGGAATCCAGAGTAGGCAACTCCTAACTGCCCTTAAGTATCAACCCAGAGGTCAATTGATCCATTAGGTCAATCTTTTATTTTTAAATTTATTCTAAATTGTTATATATGACAGCAGAATGCATTTCAATTCATAGTACACACATATTGCACAATTTTTCATATCTCTGGTTGTACACAATGTAGAGTCATACCATTTGTGTCTTTATACATGCACTTAGAGTAATGATGTTCAACTCATTCCACAGTCTTTCCTACCCCCAGGTCCCCTCCTTTACCTCCCTCCCCTTTGCTCTATCTAAAGTTCCTCCCATGCTCCGCCCCCCAACCACATTATGAATCAGCATCCTTATATCAGAGAAAACATTCGGCCTTTGGTTTTTTGGGAGTGGCTAACTTCCCTTAGCATTATATTCTCCAACTAAATCCATTTTTCCTGCAAGTGCCATGATTTTATTCTCTTTTAATGCTGAGTAATATGTCATATTGTGTGTGTGTGTGTGTGTGTGTGTGTGTGTGTGTGTGTGTGTATAATGTTAGGGCAGTTTCAATTACTCTAAAGAGTAATTGAAACACCAAATTTTACTATTATTTCAAACCTGGTCAACTTTTTAATTTAATATACAAAATTACCATTATTGAAATAATAAACAATCACATTTATTTCCAATAAGAACCAGTGTTTTGGGGCTGGAGATGTGGCTCAAGCGGTAGCGTGCTCGCCTGGCATGTGTGCAGCCCGGGTTCGATCCTCAGCACCACATACAAACAAAGATGTTGTGTCCGCCAAAAACTAAAAAATAAATATTAAAAAAAAAATTCTCTCTCTCTCCTCACACTCTCTCTTAAAAAAACAAAAAAAAAGAACCAGTATTTTAACTTTTATTAGGCAAAAAGGATAAGCTGATCTTTAATAGCTGATCTGTTAATAAGCAAGTATCTCCAAAATACTCCATGGCTAGCTGAAAGATCAAATCTAATTTAAAAAAAGAAAAATTGTTTTTCTTTTCTGGAATTTCTAAAATATTCCAGTAGAGGGCTCATTACATTTAAAATATATCAATAATAAAAGCAGGAAATTTTCCTATTCTAAAAATTAAAGGAGGGAACCTTAAAGAGAAATGTGGTCTGAGACATGTTTTCTTTTTGTATTTGCTAGGATGCCTGTCCAGGTTTTGTAATAAAGGTCTCAGTCTCTTGGACTATATGGGGCTCTAGCTGTGTTTGTGGCAGGAGCCACCTGGTGGCCAAAGGATAAAGAGTAATCAAAGGGGCTCTAGGCCTTTGAAAGGATTTTGCTTTCTCCAAACTGCCTCCAGTGTGCAAGATGTGTCCCAACCTACAGTTGCCACAGATGGTTAGTTCCTGGTCAAAACAGTCCTTGGTCAGTGAATTTGTAAATAAATTCTATAGTTCACTGGATATCCTAAACATCTTGGGAAAAGTTTTCAGGGGGAGTCAGTTTTATGACAGTCTGACTCTAGTAGAAGTTGGAAGGAGTTTTTTTTAGAGAGAGAGAGAATTTTTTTTCATTTTTATTTTTTAGTTTTCGGTGGACACAACATCTTTATTTTTTATTTTATGTGGTGCTGAGGATCGGACCTAGCGCCCCGCGCATGCTAGGCAAGTGCTTTACCGCTTGAGCCACATCCCCAGCCCCAAAGGAGCTTTTTTTTAAAAAAAAAAATCCCACATCCTCTGGGCCAGACTCCATGGCATCTCAGAATATCAAAAGTCCTCAAAAATACCTCATTCAGAAGTCAGAATCATAAAAGCAGTCTCCCAACCCTCTTCTTTGTGTGGAAGAGATAGTGCTCCAATCTCTAGAATTAGAATGGCCATTGGATCCCCAAACCCCTCCGTTTCTGGGTGCCTAGAGGGGTCATAACACAGTTAGAAGTGGCTGAGACCTGTGAATTTATGCCAGAGGCTTAAAGCCCATAAAAGGCTTCCAATCATTGTTTTCCCACTTGAACTATTTGAAGATTCATTGTTGTCCCAACACCATCTCCAACTGTTCAGCGCATGCCATGATGCCAATTGTGGTAAACCTTAACCAAAACCAGATTTCACAGAACACAATTTATCAAAATGGGTAACACAGAAAGTACATTGTGAGTTATTATTTAGCATGTATATTGCTCACCTGGGCAACAGGAGTCAGTATATAGGTATTCTAAAAATGACAAGAAAGTCTCTTTGGAAACACCATAAACTGGAATCAGGACACTCTTTGCTTCCATGTAATTACCATTGAACATGGCCGCCATCACTTCACAACGGGCCACCAGGATGGCCCTATGGGCTGGCACTGTTGTACCTGGAAGGTGCAAAAGAAAGACAAAGTCAAGTAGGATAAATTTGCTGAGTAACCACACTAGCAATTTCTTTCCAGAGTGACACTGCATATCATCAGCTAAACTGATATGCAAAAGCCAAATGGGTGGCAACCATTTATTACTCCAGTGATTTTAGTTTGAAGTTGAATGATAAAGAGAGCTCAAATACTGACTTTGAAAGAAACAATTTTCAAATCAGGTAACCATTTATTTAATTTATATTTCCTAAACACAGTAACATTGAAAAGGGTTCTTGCTTTGTTTTTATAATGAAATGTCTATCCTTTCTGACTGACTCAAAGTAACACCTCCCCTGGACAGAGGAGGAACATGATGTGGACACCTTCCTTCAAGAAAACTACCCTATGATCCTTTCTGGTCAAACTCACAGAATAGTCTTGGCCAGGCTTCCCCATATTAGAAATAGAAAACTGTAACAAGCACACCAGGAACAGTCCATACCTCACAGTAGGAATGACAAGAGAATCGCTGTGGCCCTGCCTCTCCCCAGCATGCTACCTCCCCAGGCAACAATTCTTTTCCACATGAACAATGCCTTCTTCTGGAGGAACCAGGACTTTAATTTAAAGGCCCCCTCAGCCCATACTCCACACTGAAGATCCACTAAATTAAACTGACTCTCCTGGGAGAGCTTGCTAAGTTCTCCACCACCACACAAAGGCAGTTCCACATGGGGCATAGGTGGCCTGGGAATCATGAGATGATGGAGCAGTTCTCAGCACTCCTACAGCCTCAGGAGACCACAAGTCCACACTGCTAGCCTTCAATCTGACCTAGACAAGTTCCACAGATCACTGCTGGGCACCCTCCATATGCCAATCTTTGTGTTTGGAACTGAAGATACAAAGGTGAGGAAGTCGAAGCTATCATGCTTTGGAGTAGGAGTTTTAATGGGTAATACCATGGCCAGAGGGCATGACAAAGCAGCCCCCCCCCCCCCGAAAGTAACTCTATGTGCCAAACTACTCTGCCCAAGAATTTATACACATCTCTAAAATCTCATAATTATCAGGGGTATATATTCTTCTAGAAAATATTTACAACTATTGGTTTATCTCCTTTACATCCACGCCAAACTTCTTCTGACTCAGAGAAGAAGAATTCCGCCTAAGCCCAGTGTCTCTCTCCAAAGGCAGTAATTCCTTGGGATCCACATGCAGCCCCTGATGTTGCCAGCTGAGCCCAATGTTTGGCACTGCATTCTACACCATATCTCCCCCACCAGGAGCAAGGAAGGAGCCCCCAAAGCTACACCCCAAAACACTATCTACCTCCTCATTCTCTGTCACGACTTTCCCAGCCTCAATGTGACAGTGTCCCTCTACCAAGTGGATCAATTAAAGCATGCTAGATATATATGTAAGCAGCAGTTAACAACAGACCAAACAGGCAATGCAATTCAAACAGGTAATGCAATCAGACTTGCAATTTAAAGGTTTAAAAATGTTCAAGATAAATAGGGCATCATTTAAAAAAAAAATAAAGAAAAAGAAGGAAAATTAGAAGCATAGTTAAACAAACTGAATGACCCATAATTTGAGTTAAGCAGAGTGATTTAAGATTGACTAAAAATACCAAGTGGATAGTAAGTGGGGGTGGAATTTTAACAGAAATTTGTGTTGAGGCCAGATGCAGTGGCATACCACATAATCCCAGCTACTCCAAGGATCACAAATTCTAGACCAGCCTCAAAACCCTGTCTCAAAATAAAAAATAAAAATGTCTGGGGATGTAGCTCAGTGTTAGAACATCCCTGGGTCTAACCCTCAGCTCAGTAGGGGAAAAGAAGACGAAAAGGAAAAAAAAAAAGAAAGAAAGAAATTTCTGTTGATCATGTTACAACAGAATTACAAAACCAACAGCAAAACACTTTCAAGACCATTTCAAGCTTGAAATTCAGTTTGGAAAGCCATGAGACTTCCAGTAAAGAAAACATCAACTTCTGTTTCTCAGCTCTTTAAACCACTGTTCTGGTACTATAAATTGTTGTGTTAACATAATACCCCAGGAGAGCTATGTGTTTTTTTTTTTTTTTAACACTGTATATAAAAATATTTGCTAAAAGAACATTATGCAGTGTTTATATACTAACCAGTAATAGGATACAGGTGAAGAATTACTTAAAGAACAACAACAACAACAAAACCAAACAATTTTCTAGCTAAAAGATAAACATGCTCTTAGAAAATGTCAAGGCCAAACTATCTTTTCTTTGTATTATTCATTTGATGTCGCAGTTTTAAGAAACTTTTTCTAAGGAAAAAAATAATCTTAAGAATGAAACAAAATATAAAAGCTCGGGGCTGGGGATGTGGCTCAAGCGGTAGTGCGCTCGCCTGGCATGCGTGCGGCCTGGGTTCGATCCTCAGCACCACATACAAACAAAGATATTGTGTCTGCCAAATACTAAAAAAATAAATATTAAAATTCTCTCTCACACTCTCTCTTTAAAAAAAAGAAGTGTATTAAAAAATATATATATATATATAAAAGCTCAGTTCTCCTACTAGCTTTGATGAATTATCAAAGGCCTTGTTTCCATTGCATACAAAATAAAATACATTTGTTACACCATTTTTGTACACTTTCAGGTTTCAAAAGTGAAATTTTTAGAATTGTGTTTGATCTCATTCTGGAAAAAAAGGATATCCGTCTTGCTGAAGAGAGATTTAAAGTATGTACTACATAGCTAAACAAGGAAGGAATAATTTTGTAAAAGAACTTTTCATGTGACACAGATTCAAATGTCAAAGGAAACCCCTATTTTTCTATACACATCTAAATATTTACCAAGACTAACTTTAGAGTGGCTAGAGTAACTTCTTTTTTTAAATAAACCCAAATAAGGAATTACAGGTGGTAGTGAAAACACATATTTGATGATCACCTATTACAAGGACAGTATCCCATGTCAGGTTTTTACATCCCACTTTGACTTCAGCCAATTGTTGGTAACAGTCTGAATCCTTCTAAAAGAAGGGTTTTCTGTGGAGCCTGGGTTCAACATGAATGGCACAGTGACCCGCCAGAGATGGCTGCCATGCACAGAAAAAGGGTGGCGTCTATGAGTCAGGCCTGCACTGGTCCTGCACATCCACTCTCGATTCTTGTAACCACCACCTCACGAGGCAGAAATTAGAATCTCCTCCCACAGATGAAGAAACAAAGGTGCTTCATCTTATGAATGAAAAATTTCTGTTAAAATTTAAAGGTGACATCAAATTTTACCCACATCTACTATCCACTTGGTACTTTTGGTCAGTCTTAAAAATCAATAATGGAAAGTAATACACTCAAATCTGTACAGTAAAAACATGTCCCAGCAAAGACCCCAGCTAGGACTTCCCGGCCCATGCTAATTCTACCTCATCAAGATACATTGGTTTATTAGTTCTGGTCTGATACCCCAGACATTTCATCCTCACTTAGGTTTCCCTAAGCCTCCAATGAGGTTCAGTGATGTTCATGCTGAAAACTGGAGTAAAGAAGCCAAAGAGTTACAACTTGTGACTTCAAATTTACTATTATAGCATGAAGAGTAAACCTTACACTTAAATAACTACTTAGTTTTAAAATGGTCTTTCCTGCTGTGTCACATAAATTTATACTAAGGATACCAAAGTCATATCCAAATGTGAATTATTTCACAAATATGAATCTTTCAGAACACACACTTTGCATTACAAATATTTTAGGTCAAGTGTATAGAAGAAAAACTGCACATGTATCTAAGACTTCACTATAACTTTAAAAAATTCTATAATTAATATTTGAGATGGTTTATTATCAACCATTACTCTGAGGGTCTGTATCAATTCCAGTATAAGTCAACTTGAAATATTTTGAAATATAAGAATGCTTTCCTTCCCTATTTTTGGTATAAAATACTTTAATTATCAATTAAAAAGTTAGAGATACATTCACACTTCAAACAGCTATTTCCATTAATACCAGAAACAAAACCCAAAAAAAGACATTGGGGTTTTTTTTAGAGTGTCATTGGGTGAGGGAGCCTGGCCCTCAACTTCAAGATGTGAAACACGGAGATGTCTGAAAAGTCCACAGGAAGGGTAAACAAAATGACCAAGCCTGAGTGGAACAGAGGCATTGCCCCTGGAGGCCAAACACCCTGCAAAGGTTTGAAAAGCATTTATGTTGTACATATCAATTCTCAACTTCAGAACCATCAATCTCGTTATCAAGTGTCATTTATTAAAGGTTGGTTGATGTTGTGGGACATAGTGATGCAACAAAGCATGTGTAATGTGATTACTCATTTGCAGAATAACCCAACAGTCCATCTATAAGAGGATTACTGAGGTGTTTGGAAATATAAACTTCCAACCAAGGAAATATAGGTTACAAAAAAATAAATGAATGACTAAAGACAACCAAAGGACTAGAACTTGATCATCAATGAAGAATTAAATACTGAGTCCATTATATTTTACCTGATTTGTCTCAAATACTGTGTGAGTGGTAAGAGATTGGTCAGCCTGATCATAGGACCAGTACCAGAGCATCCGAGAAAGTCCAAAATATTGGATATGATTAATAAACACACTATATTCTATTATAGGGTAAAAAACATTCATCAGATTCATTAAGGTCCAGATGAAACAGCACTACAAACTATTCTTATGTTCACCACATAACCTTCAGTTTACCACTTCTTTTTTCCCTTATGAAAAACATGCCCTAGATTGTCATATGGTCCCTGGAGTACTTTGTTCCCACCTCATCCTAAACTGCTCAGTATGAATCCAATCAACCCTAAAACACATATGGCTAAACAGATCTCAGTGCCCCACAGGAAATCATTTGGAAAAGAGTACTTGGACATCTCCTACCATCAGCCACCTTCTTTTAGAATACAGAAACTGTTATTCCATCTTTCTAAAATGGACTTTAAAAAAATTAATCTTGGAAAAACAAAAATACTTTTTATTTACAAATCGTATTTCTTCTCAACAATGGATACAGTCCTTCCTGTTGACATGTAACACTTTTTAGATGATTTGTTAAAAAAAAAATCTCTATGCCTTTTGTATAGATAGACTGCATCAACCATTTTCCATGAATACTTTCATCAACAAAGATTTTTCTTCTAGAAGCTAGAGAGAATTCTATAAATCACAGGGAGTTTTATCCCCAAAAGGCTTGCTCCACCTATAATGAATAATCAATGAACACTGGCTTCACTTTGGGTTTTATTCTGGCAAGTAATAAATCAAGGCATGATAATATTAGAGTCAGTTTTAGGTTTCTTAAAATGATGAAAGGGTTACAGAAAATCTGTGGCCTCTTGTTGGCTTTCCCCCCCACCCCATCACTTTTTACATGTCTCAAGGTTACTCTTATTGTCTCATTTTCAATGTCCTAGGCTCATACTGCCTACAGTGCTGACAGCAGCTTTGGAAGGTACTTTTGGAAAGCTTCCAATTAATTGTTTGTCTTGGAAGGTGACCAAAGTTAAAAGTAAAATGAATCTTTCTGGGCAAATAGTTTTTAATGTAAATGACCATGTTAGCTGTCACATATTTCCACCATAAAATTAGAATTATATCTTACTCTTCACAATAGCCCACATAAAGTTCTAGTTAATTCATGTGGAAACATCTCCTTCTACCCTTCTTGCATAACTAAATATATATGAGAATTCATTTTCAAAATTCTGCTTTTAACATGCTAATCTGACAAAATTATCCATGCAAGTAATTAATAATGGGCATTAAAACAGCTCATATTTATTACAATTAGGTGGCATTACTTTCCCACAGAGATAAGAAGCAGCTTTCAGTTGCTCTGGAAAACACTTGTGAGCACTGTGAGAAATCAACTCCGCAATATCTGTGGGTGTCTAATATAGGCCAGGCATGACCCTCAATTCAAAATTAGATCCTTTCACTCAAATAAAGACACACACACACACACACACACACACACACACACACAGAGAGAGAGAGAGAGAGAGAGAGAGAGAGAGAGAGAGAGAGAGAGAAATGAACAAAATAAACAAAAGGTAATGTAATTTTAGGGGAGCTGACCTTACTTGAATCAAAAACCAGTATATTACCCAGGCCTTTAATCCCAGTGACCTGGGAGGCTGAGGCAGTGGATGGCAAGTTTAAAGCCAGCCTGTGCAACTTAGTAAGACCCTATCTTGAAATAAAAGGGCTAGGGATCTGGGAGAGCACCCCTGTGTTCAATCCTCTGCACAAACACACACCCAAAAAACGCTTGCCCCAAAACTAAGCAAACAAACCACTCAGGATCTTAAAGAAATTCACAAACAAAAATACATAATAATGTATTACAGATTATCTCATCCTTGCTGATTTCTATAGGTTAATGAAGCAGACAGTAAAGGGGAAAATACTATAGAAAACAGCTGGGTGTTGAGGCACACGCCTATAATCCCAGCAATTCTGGAGGCTGAGGCAGAAGGATTGCAAGTTCTAAGCGCCTCTCCCCCCTTTCTCTCATGTGCGCGCGCGTGCGCGCGCGCGCGCACACACGCGCGCACACACACACACACACACACACACAAATTTATCAGAAGCTGAAACAAATTGAGGAAAGCAAATAAAAAAATGAAAATGCATAATGAACTTTGCAAATTTGAGCCATACCTTGTATTTCAAAGACAACATCAGCAAGCATCGGTTTATTAAGGAAAAACTTGAGGGAAGTGTTATAAAACCACAGAGGTTTTCTGGCTTGGTAGGTTTTGCAATTCCTTAGACAATTAATCTATAAGAAAAAAACACAAATACAAGAAGAGAGATTGTTCAATATGCTTTGGCAAATTTAAGTACTGGTTTGAGAATTTGGAAAACTGTCTGTGTCTGAAGAAATAATGATTACTTACTCCATGGCATTTCTTTCTTTTTTTTTTTTTTAAATATTTATTTTTTAGTTGTAGTTGGATAATACCTTATTTTATTTATTCATTTCTATGTGGTGCTCATGATTGAACCCAGGGCCCTGCACATGCTAGGCGATTGCTTCACCACTAAGCCACAAACCCACCCCCTCTCTGTGGCATTTCTGATCACAGTATTGGAGGAAACTCACCCTCAAGTACTACTTCTGCTCCCTGTTTATAGTACCACACTAAACACACAACACAGGACAGGCACTGGCTAAGTGAAAATGCAACTCTATAGCCAAGAAGCTGTAGGAACCTGAACTGCTACGGGTCTTCATTGAGAAACAGCAGCAGCACAAACACATATGAAAGCCTAACAAAATAAGTTTACCCATTCTATCTGATTTGTTCATTAAGAAAGTAAGAAGACAATTTTACATAATGCCCTACTAGTAACCGACGTGATTCTGCAATCTGCATTTGGGGTAAAAATTGGGAGTTCATAACCCACTTCAATCTAATATATGAAATATGATATGTCAAGAGCTTTGTAATGTTGTGAACAACCAATAAAAAAAAAAGAAAAAGAAATAAATATTTTTTTTTTTTAAAGAAGACAAAAATTTAATTGGCAATTTAGGAAAATACATTTTCCCCTTATCATACCATGTTCTTTTATTGCCTATTAGCTCAATATTTTCTCCTAAAGAAATGAACATTAAATACACACACACCTTAGAGTGATTAATTGGCTCATGTCCATCTTAATTGCCAGTGTTATAATCCTAATATCTTTTCTATACACTGCACAGACTACTCATTCGCCTGGGTCTCTGATCTGGAGCTCCAATTGCTCTTCCCTTGACAACACATCCCTTGTCCCATCACACCTGCCTGCTGCAGCTGGCAGCCTCAAGGGGCAGTGCCTCCGTCCCACTCAGCCTTCAGAAATCCCCTTGTTTCAAACCTAGAAGTTGAGGGCCAGCCTCACTTTACTCAACCTCCATCCATTTTCTTTTCCTTTCTTACTTACTCTGGTTTATTTATAATGAATAAACTAAACAAACCTGAACATTTTCAGGTACAATTGCCCAAAAGATGAAGAAATATAACTTATTTGAAATACTAAGATTCATTAGGACTACAAGCTTATATTGCATTATTATACCCCTCATTTGGGATGATTTAATGATGATTTTTATTGAAACATCATATCTTACTCATTCCTGACAGATTCACCCATTTCCCTGGTTGAATCGCAGCCCTGGTCAGAATTTTAAACCTCTACTTGGCTAGCTAGGGAAATCAGAACACTCTATCCTCTAGAAATAATCACACATGTAACATTAAGAATAATAAGAATAAATGACACATATTCTCCACTCCAGATTAATCTACTGTGGTGAAAATTTAAATCTTTAGTGAGTGGGGAAAATAACAGTATTCTTCCTCACAAAGAAAAAGGAAACACACTGCTGAATGGCATCTAAGAGGAAGCAGAAAGGTAAAACAGACCGCATGAATGGGGGTCCTTTAACCACATTCTCACCTATTCACAATGTGCCACAATACACCGTGAAGGAGCCAGGGATAGAAGCTAGTGGATGCTTCACAAAAAGGAGACTATCAGCTAGGAAGTATCACAGATTTGGAAGTTAGTAGAAGCCTCCAGGAGCACAGTGCCTCCATTTAAAGAAAGCCCTGACTTGCTCTAAGTTGTAGAGATAATTTGTGGCAGGCTCACAATTTAAATCCACATTCCCCAAGTTCTAATTCAGTGCTACTTGTTCTCTGTTTTGTTTTGTTTGTTTCCATTTTTCAGTACTGAGGATGGAACCCTGGGCCTTGAACACGCAAGCACTCTGAGCAGCATCCCCAACACAGTGTTTATTTCCTGTAATGTGTTCAGTCAGTGAGATGGACTTTTATCCCAGGAAAGCACAGAAGATGGGTGGAAGAACTTTCCCCTCTTGTGCAAGCAAGGGATTTTAGTTCAATAGCATGGAGTTCCCTTCACAAGAGGAATTCAGTTTATTCTCAGTACCCAAAGGGATGTATGCAGAATGAGACCCATGAAAAGGTGCAGGTTCAGAACAAAAGCAACACTCTTCCCTTACCTGTATATAAAGGTATGAATTTGTACACTGTGAACATTATGTCTGTGTATATATATATAGATAGATATAGATATTATGTATGAATGTATGTGTCATTTCTGCTTTGAATTTGAAAGAAAAAAGTGAGAGGGCAGAAGTTTAGTGAGAACACAGATGTATATGATGTGCATTTTCATTGGTCAATACATAAATTATGGTCCATAACATAAGTTAACTAGACCAATTGCTTTGAAAAACAAAATGTAGGTGTATTACATATTTTTACAAAATAATTATTTACTTGAATTAGTTGCAAGAGAGCTACCATCCTGCTAAACACCTGTAAAACTAGACAGCTTCAGTATCTGCTTCAATAAGTTACTGAAGTAAAAGAAAAATCTGGCCCCTTAATTCCATACTACTTTGCTAAAAAATCTTTCTTCTCAATTAAAGAACAGTCAGGAATCTTCATTATAATTATAGTTTATATTTTTAAACTATAAATTTAGGGTTGTAGAAGTGACAAAGTCAATTGTAGAAAATAAATAAAGAAATAATATTCTTTTTTTACATTAAATATAAATCTGTATTCTGCTAGGCATTATACACAATGTACCTTTTTATTTACTATAGTCAACTTGTTTATCACAGAATCTGAAATAAAAGTACACTGGTTTAATTATATAATGTGGTTGTTTTAAAATTTAACAAATCTACTTTTAAAAGTTCTTATAGAGTCTACAATTTAAGTTACTGGAGTTTTAATATACACGTTTATGGCCATATATAAATTCTATATTTTTATAACCCCAAACTTAGTTATAGTTTTGAACTTAAACTAGATAGAATCCTTAATTGCCTACCTGGTTATATAAATTTCTCAGAACCCTCAAAAAAGGCACACACAGGAACTGCCCTCCTCCTACAAACTACTTTGATTGTGAGCCATAAGAAAGCATCCTCTCCAAGAAGTTGAACTGCAGCTGGAAAAATCAAACAACCCTTCCTTCCTGACATGGATCATGTATTTCCAGAGCTCTAGTGAAGTATTCCAGAAGTTGGAACTCAAAAATGAGTATTTTGAAGATATGACTCACACATATTTTAATTCTTACATAAATTTAAACCTAAGTAACAAATAGCATGTGTTTCTACTTAAGATGTTACATGGAAGAAATATATTCAGGGGAAACACTCATTTATATATTACTTAATTCTTCTAATGACTCGATATTACATACATCATTTTATGTCAGAGAGAGTCAAACAAATTAACTTACCTTTCCCGGTGTTTTTAAAATGCATTTAACTTTCTCAATCACATTAGAAACATCCCCAGAATCTTTCAACTTCTTCCTGATATCTTCTTCCAATTCTTCCCACTGAAAAGCACCTGTAGCAAATTAGTACATGTTATAATTTTCTGTTACAGCAGAAGGTAAGAAAAATTAATCTCACACTAGACATCATTATTCATTTTGTTTTGTTTTTTAGCATTTTCTTCTAGTTTTTCTTTTAAAAAACATAGTCTTACAATTATGGAATACATTTAATAGCTCTTATATTTTTAACAAATCAGTTTTGGGCTTCCCCTACATTTCTTGAAACCAGAAGTACTCTTGCCTGAATAGCTGCCACCTCTCTGTGACTCATGATAACAGCACTGGCCAGAATATGAGCTACTACAACAAGGGCTCCAATATCCAAGTTATTTGTCTGCCCTGGGGGAAGAAGGTAGATGCACTCTTTCCCATACTGATCATGGAGAGCAGTGACCATCAGGTAGAGGAATATGCAGCAGACACAGAAAACGTTCTAAAAGTGTCATGAATGGGAGCATCTCTCCAGAAAATCCCCTATGCATACACAAAGTCTGCATAAAAACATCAAGAGTTTAAGGGCCCAGTGGAAAAGCCAATGGAAATTGAACAAAGAAATTTTGTTCAGTTGGGTACTATGGCACACACTTGAGATCCCAGAGACTTAAGAGGCTGAGATAGAAGGATCACAAGTTTGAGGACAGCCTGGGGCAACTCAGCAAGACCTTGTCTAAAAAACAAAAAAATAAAATAAAATAAAAAGGGCTGGGGATGTAGCTCAGGTTCAATACTAATTAAAAGGAAAGAAGGAAGATATTTAAATTTATTCTATACCAGCTATTCACAGTCCTATCTGTGCATTATATTTACCTGAAGATGTACCTGTTATAAAATGCTATCAGAAGAGGTCTCGTACCAATTAAATTATAATTTTTGGAACTGAGGCCCTGACACCAATATGTTTTAAAGACCTCCTAGGTGACTGATATGTATGGAGTACTGCTGATGACCACTATTCTACCTTTAGAAATTTCATCCTTTATCATAACCCAGGGTAAGCCGTACACAGCAAGTAGTAGGTGTAGGTATTTTTGATTGTCTACACTCACCCAAGCTGAAGGAGAACACAGATACTGTCTCTGTAGTCACCTTTAATATGATGAGCAAAAGTTACACTAAGCTAACATGTTAACATAAGTAAAGTTACATTAACTAAAGAGCATCTATATCTCCAGTCAGATTATTATCTAAAAGTAAACAAGTATCAAATAATCTAAATACATGGATTAGCATCAGGTAACCCTCCCCGCTACACACACACACTCAGGTCACTGGGCTATTGGTTTGTGAAAACACACACAAAAAGAACCAGTAACTAAGAATGAAAGAAAGATAATTTTTAAAATTTTTTTTTTTAGTTGTTGAGGAACATGATACTTTATTTTTATTTATTTATTTTAATGTGGAGCTGAGGATTGAACACAGTGCCTCATAAGTGCTAGGCCAGTACTCTACCACTGAGCCACAACCCCAGCCTGAAAGGAAGACTAATTTTTAAGTGCACATTAATTGAGTGGGCTGTTTTCACAATCAGAAATGCTAATGGAATCATCTTTGATGCCTTTAGGTCCAAATAAAACCATAATCATTGCATTAGGAATTTTGTTTTGTAATAAAGACATTTAACATGAGATATAAAAGATCTACCCTCCTCCTTTTACATTTATTTATCTACCTACCTACCTATTTATTTATTTATTTTTGTGGTATTAGGGATTAAATCTAGGGGTACTCTATCACCGAGCTACACCCAGCCTTTTTATTTTGAGACAGAGTCTCCCTTAGTTGCTATGGCTGGCCTTCAACTTGTGATCCTCCTGACTCAGCCTCCCTAGTCACTAGAATTATAGGCATGTGCCACCATACACAGCCCAAGCTCCTAAATTTTTTAAGTTTATAGTCCAGTATTGTTAACAATAAGCATGAAGCCATATGGCAAGATCTCTAGAGTTTACTCACCTTGCATTATTCAGTGGGATTTTTCTTTTTTCTTTTCTTTTTTTTTTTTTTTTTTTGGTGCTGAGACCCGGGAGTGAACTCAGTGGGATTTTTTAAAGGATAGCTTTTCAAAGCACTTATCTAGCCTCTTAGCACATTATACTCAGGTATAACCTCAGGTATAACAGGCTGCTTTTATGCAATGCAGAAAAGAGCATGCCAAGAATAATTCTAAGCATAGGAGTATACAATGAAAACTAAAGATGAACACTCATTTCCACATATTTATCTACCCTGCAGCATTTCAGTGATATGAAATGCTAGGGTCCTTCTGTGACAGGAAGAGATCAAAGCTACATTTTTGAGGCTCTTACAAATATTTAAATTCTTAACCATCTGAGATCAGGTGACAGAAATTTGCAAGCCTAAGACTGTGTCAAGTATTATAAGAATGTTACAATTGTATGCCATTTAAGGATTACTCCCTGAAGACCAAGAAACCATGGGCCTCACTGTGCCACTAGTTCTTTTCCTCCAAGGAGCAGTCATGAGATACTGACACATTATGCAGTGTTCTTTATCATCCAATGGAAAATTAACACATACAAAACAGACATACCTGGACTGTTATCTATTTATTTAAAAATCTGAATGGGAAAATAAACTGAAGCCTTAAATTTAGGTATAAAATGTTAACCATACTACAAAATAGGACCCTCTTAAATAAAGGACCAGATGACCAAGGTAACACAATATAAACAAAATTTCAAATTCCTACAGGTTAAAATAAAAAGCATGCTATTAAAAAAATCAAAATATTCTTTGTAATCTGCTTAATTTAACCAAACAAACAAACAAACAAACAAAAAACCTGAACAACAAAATAAAGGGCAGGAGATAGGTTTCTTTTGACCTTTTAGCCCATGTTTTCTCAGGGCAAATATCCATAGCATGCCATGCCCTAGTGTTCTACCTCTGTGTGAGCAGAAGAACTCACATGAATACCAACAGTCCCGTTGGCCATGATATCCTAACAACAACAACAACAACAACAAAAACAGACCTGGCTCCTTTATTGAAGACTTGAAGAAAAATGTATGTTATATTCAAAATTTTTGTTTTGATTTGATAAAAGACATTTTTTTTTAAAAAGCAGTCACAAACAAGGACTAGAAAAAAGTAATAATGTTCAAACATTTTCTCTTGACAGTGGGATCTATGTGATTTTTTTGTTTCTCTTATAAATTTTCTACATTTTTCAAAATTTTCTCTATTTGAAAATATATTTTATTCCTTTTCTTTTTTTCCCCTAGGTGCTGGGGATTGAACATGGAGCCTTGCACATCTAAGCAAGCATCTACTACTAAACCACATCCCCAGTCTTGTTTTACTATTTTTTAAACATAGCTTCTGCCAAAGTCACAGGTTATTATCTGTAAAAAATTAAAGAAGGGGCTGGAGTTGTGGCTCAATGGTAGAGTGCTTGCCTGGCATGTGTGAGGCACGGGGTTCAATTCTCAACACCATATAGAAAAATAAATAAATATATTGTGTCTATCTACAACTAAAAATTAAAAAAAAATTAAAGAATAAAAGTAAGTTACATAATGAAGAATAATTAACTGTAGAACCAGTTACTTTTCCTTCTCCTCAACTAGCACCAGGGTCTCCTATAGCCTCAGGTCACAGGCCTGTACCCCTATTCATAGCTAACACCACCTCCTGCCTCATTGAGATATACAGGAAGTGATCACTGAAGAAATGGGCTAGTTCAGTGTCAGGTTAGGAAGGGGAGCTATGAAGTTAAGGTAGCTCAGGAAGCTCTCCATACTCCATTCACTCCACTGGCCTCTGCCCTCTAATCCCTGTTTGCTGGCTCATTTACTTTTTAATCAAGAGCTAAGCATCCACTTCCCCCCACTTCAGGCAGAGGACACAATAGGATGCTGAGCACCCCAACTACAAAAAGTTCAGCACCAACCTTGCAGCTCACCCCATTTTTACTTTGTGCCCTAAGTTGGTATAGGGTTCGTTCTTCAGTTTCTGAACGAAATTTGAGGCCAAATTTTAACTGGTACCCATTCTTCCAAGAGCATCAAGCATTTGGGAGGCTGTTGGAAATGCAGAATCTTATGGCCTGTCCCAAAATTGGAATCTGCTCATTAACAAGAATGCCAGGTGACTTGAGTGAACTTGAAGATTTGAGAGCACTAGTCTAGATGATGAAGGGCCAAGAGTAACACAGTCACTGCCCAAATGTTGTTCACCAGAATGAAATAATGGGCCTCCGAACTGGATTCCTGTCTTACCTTCTCTATTCCAACCTCACAAATCACCAGAAATGAGTTTTCTAAAGTCCAGTCTGATGACTTTTTTTTTTTTTCTAGCATAGCTTCTAGGAAAGGCAGGAACTGTTTCCACAGGCCTTGCCTCATGTCCCATCAGCCTTCAACTTCCACATTATGCTCCAGCCTCAGGAAACTATCTATGGTCCCTGGAAAACAGCAGTTACTGAAGACTACGTTTTTACTAAAGCATATTTAATAGTTCATTATTCTTCACTTTCAAATAGCATCAAAAGAATACAAAAAGAAATTGTTTTTATAGGTAACTGAGTCTGGAGAATGGGTATGGGCTACAAAGAGAACTTTTTATTTTACCCCTCTTTCCCCATCTGCCTGTATAAAATTGGAATTTAAAAAAAAAAATCTCTCCCTAGGAGAAAGCCAGGCAGGTTCAACCACTGGAGGTACATGTAGCCGTTTAATGCTGCCATATTAAAGATGTAACTAACTTCAGAATGTTTGTGTGTCTTTGAAAGGATTGAATGGATATTGTGGGAAACTTGCTGAATTTCAACAGTAATATCACTGAGAAGTAAAACACATCCTTCACATTTCCTTAAACTTGTCATTAAAAGCTTTTTTTTTTCATTTAACATGTAAACATTTTGGCTTTCCAAAATTAGTCTCAAATTCTGAACTCAATGTGAAATTCTAGGTTTAAACATTAAAATCTGTACTACTAAAAGAAGTCCTTAACTACTCTTGTCTTACTCATATGATGATTCCCAGCTACTAGAAAATACTCTGTAATGGAAGTGGATCATGCAGTGAACCCGCTATGCTGAAGGCAGAGTACTGGGTGTGTGCTGTACAGGGTTCTTACGTTTGCCTTTTCCAAGCCAGTGTTCACTGACCTTCCACCACATTCTAGTCCAATACATATATATTTTACACACATAAACCTGCATGCTGTAACTATACTTTTCAAAATCATAACATTTTAATTTATAAAATTATATAACTACAACACAAATGAAAATAGTGTCATCTTATTTTTAACATCAACCATTTAAATGAAGACTATCCAAATACATGATTTCAAGTAGAAAAAGAAAATTATTAAGAAGAAAAGAAAGTTTTCCTCAGAAAACTTATATTCAGATGCTTACTTGAAAGATCATTGTATATGCAGTCTTTTCTACCCATACATAGGACACTTGGACATGAGACCATTGATTCTTTTGCTAAAGTGATGCAAATTCTATTTAAAACTCCTATTCTTTAGAATATAGTTACCCTGAGTTTTTTAAATGACAAAAAGAAAAGTAACTGAAAATATGAAACTTAGAAAGTAAGGAAAAAAAATTCTAAGGAAATCATCACCAAACTTAATCATGTCAACTAATTTTAGATTTATGACTCCCAGTTTTTAAATTGCAATGTCTTCAATTCTCTCCAAAATCTAAGAGTCAAACCCAAGAGTGAATAGCTAGGTTTTAAAACACCTGATTTCATATATCATTGGAAAATTTTATTTCTTTAAACTGGCAGTAAAGACTTATATTTCATATTTGTAATTCAAAGAAAGAATCTTAACACACATGCTTAGGAGGAGACTATTGTTTTTACAAATAGATGTGAAACTAAAGCAAGTACAATAAGGGTAAAAACAGATGCTCAACACCACTAGTCATTAGAGAACTGCAAATCAAAACTACAAAGAGATACCCTGATGATCCATTAAGACGGCTACCATGAGAAAAACAGAAAATCACAAGTGTTGAGGATGTGGAGAAACTGGAATCCCTATATACCATTGATAGGAATAAAAAATGGTGGGGCTGGGGTTTTGGCTCAGTGGTAGAGCACTAGCCTAGCACGTGCAAGACCCTGGATTCGATCCTCAGCACCACATATAAATAAATGTGTCCAACTAAAAAAATAAACTTTTTTTTTTTTTTTTTTTTTAAGAGAGAGAAAGGGACTGGGGATGTGGCTCGAGCGGTACCCTGGCATGCGTGCGGTCCGAGTTCATCCTCAGCACCACATATAAACAAAGATGTTGTGTCTGCTGAAAACTAAAAAAATAAATATTAAGAAAATTCTCTCTCTCTCTAAAATAAATAAATAAATAAATTATTTTTATATGGTGCTGATGATCAAACCCAGTACCCCACACATGCCAGGCGAGCACGTTACCGCTTGAGCCACATCCCTAGCCCCTATAAACATTTTTTAAAAATGGTATAGCTAATGTGGAAAATAATATGCAATTTCTTTAAAAATCAAAAATAAAATTACAAAAAAATTACATATGATCTAGAAATTCTACTTCTGGGTAGATACCCAAAAGATCTGAAAGCTCGGTCCTCAAAAGAAATACCTGTACAACCATGCCCAGAGCAGCATTATTCACAACACCTGAAGCAATGCAGCAACCCAAATGCCCATCAATAGATGAATGGATAAACAAAATGTGGTATATGCACACAACAGAATACTATTCAGCCTTAAAAATGAATGAAATCTGACAGATGCGGCAACTTGGATGAACCCTGAAGACACTGTGCTAAGAAATAAGACTGAAATAAGCCTAGAGAGACAAGTACCATTGTACTTACATGAGGCACTTAGAATAGTCACAAATCATAGACAGAAATTAGAATGGTGGTTTCTGGGGGCTTGAAGAAGAGGAGAATGGGGAGCTATTGTTTAATGAGCACAGAATTTCAGTTTTACAAGACAAAATAGGTTGCAGAGATGGATGGTGGTGATGGTTGCACAACATTATGAATGTATTTAATACAAACAAACTGCCCACTTAAAAGTGGTTAAGAGTAAATTTTATGTTTCATGCATTTTACCTGGTTGGGGGAAACAGGTAAACAAATTTGTAAGGATGTCAGAAATCCTGGACCAATTCTTATAAATAAAGCAAATATTATATCATGTATAAATTTCACCTCAGATGTTATAAAGAATAAGTGTAACACTAACCAATACTCTTGAGGACTATAGGCATACTTCATTTCAAAGGCTTATGAGAGTTTAAGGAACAAGAACCTTTTGACAGAATACCTGAATAAATGAAGCGCAGAATGTCTGATAAACAAGAACAGAAGAGGGCGTCTTTAACAATGACTCGCAATGGTGGGTTGCCAGAAGATTCCTGGCTAGCACCTGGAAAGGTGGTATCTCTGTTTATAGCAAAGAGATCCTGGGTAGTTCGGATGATACTGGAATCTTGAATTTCGGTGGGACTCTTCACATTGAAAAGCAGCATGAAAACATGGCTTACTGCACAGAGAACGATCTTGTGGGCCTCTATGACCTCCTTTAAATCTGGGTGGTAAAACACCACGTCCACACATTGGCAGCACAACAGCAAGTTATTTAAGTCAGAGTTATAATGCGATGCTTCAGCCTTTAAAACAGGCATTTTTTCTGTTTCAAAAAAGAAAATAAGAATAATAAGCTGCATTTTTAAGTCTACAGATCCAATAATTTCAGGTTTACTTTAAATGCAGTACAATATTTTAAAATAATAATCAAGTCAAACCATAAGAAAGGGCCAATATTTGATCATTTTTCACCATCATCATAAAAATATGAAGTAAATTTTACAGGAGAATCATACAACACAGACACACATACATTTACATTTTAACATGCAAATGAAAAATATATTGATGACAAAAGGAGCAATAAAGCAACACTTATCACTATTTGTATGTCCCAAAATAAAACATCCCCCCAAACACTGAATGTCAGTATTTTATCATTCTTTACTTCTTTTTTTTTTTTGAACATTTATTTATTTTTTAGTTGTAGTTGTACACAATACCTTTTTTTTTTTTAATATTTATTATTTTTTAGTTCTCGGAGCACACAACATCTTTGTTGGTATGTGGTGCTGAGGATCGAACCGGGCCGCACGCCTGCCAGGTGAGCGCGCTACCGCTTGAGCCACATCCCCAGCCCCTCACAATACCTTTTTTTATATGTGATGCTGAGGATCGAACCCAGGGTCTCACACATGCTAGGTGAGAGTTCTACCACTCGAACCACAACTCCAGCCCCTCATTCTTTACTTTTATGTGTTTTTAAAAAAAATAAAAAATAAAAAAAAAAACTAAAACAAAGTACTAAGTTCTGAAGAACCCAAGCACACATTTGAAGTCCTTTTCCACCCAGAACCAGGAGTGGGGGTCAAGGGAAACCTGTGAAAATTCTGCAACTTCTCAGTGTCAGGGTTCAGAATCCTGGACTCTACTGTTTAAAACCACCTTGACCATCTTATTTTGAGCCTCATCTTTTTTCCTCCTAGTAAAGCAACAGGCTTCCCAGAACAACTCTTTACTCAGCACACCTCAGCAAGAGTGCCAACTAAACACTCTAGTTTCCAAAAGAGGATATAACCTTCCACTTACTAGTTCGATTACCAACAAAGTGAGACTAGCCCTCTATGGGCTCAAAATATCCATGCTCCCCATGCCCTATCACAGACCCTACTATAAAATGTCTGCCATCTCCCTTTTATCCACAGCCAAGCTGAGGAAAGGAATCTTTGTGAAGTGTTGATGGAAGGATATGAGCTCTTCTAAACCTGTGGAATTCAAATTCTTTAGCAATGAAAATCCTTCAAAGCAAAGCCCAGTTCATAAAGTAGATGACAAGGCACTTTGGGGGGTGAGGCTTGCCCTACACTGTACCCCATTCCCCCCTCTTTGCCACTGCCTGTGGCAAAGTACCTTAAATGCTGAGATATGTCTGAAAGCCACATGCTCCAGAGCCCAGGATTGGTCCTTAGAAAATATCACCTACAGAGTCATACCCTGACTGTAGGGATAGCCCGTTGGTTATGATTAGAGCTATGCTGACAGCTCTCTTAACTAAAGGGTACAGGAAGCAGCCCTATGAAAGTGGAGACTGCATTTGCTGAAGGGATGCTTTTGAAGACCCTGTCTATTATACCACCTAGTACACCCAAATGAAGATGCACACAAGGAGTTTCTTTTAGTGCTAAAGGATGTGGGATGTTTTGCTTTCTCAGAGAAACTGATATGTTTTCTGGATCAATAAGAACTAATAACTTGCTAGCTACATTATCTATTCGGCCTTTACACCCCTCCCCCATCTTCCAATTCAGAAAGTATTTAAGAACCCAGGTTTTGTCATATAACAGACCAGGTCTCCCCTTACACTGAGCAAACCAGAAAGTTCAAAGTCAAAAGTGTATATTTTATGGTCTATTTATATAAATTTTTTACAACTGAAAATGTCCTTCCATTCTACTTTTCATTTTTCTGTTTTTTTTTTAAGTTAAATTCATTCATTCAACAAATATTTATCAAATGCCTACTTAAAAATTTTTTTTAACTGAGCTGGGGTTGTAACTCAGTGGTAGAGTGCTTGCCTTGAATGTGTGAGGCACTGGGTTCAACTCTCAGCACCACATATAAATAAAACAAGGTCCATCAACAACTAAAATAAATAATTTGAAAAAAAATTTTTTAACTGACACATAATAATTCCACATATGCATGGGGTACAGTGTGATCATCAAACACATGCATACAATGTGTGATGATCAAACCAAGTCAGAGTTATAATGCGATTTTTATCTCCTTATTTCTTTATATTTGGGAATCTTTAATTCCTCTCTTTAAGTTCTTCCAAAATATATAATTACATTGTAAACTATAATCACCATCTGTGCTATCAAGTGCCTGCTCTTTAAAACAATATCAAAAACAAATTGACCCAAGAGTACTTGTCCACTTCACAGAATTATGTAAAAGTTCTGATTATAATTAATGCAATTTTATTTATTTTTATCTCTATTTCCTCCAACTTTTTATTAAGAACATTTTCAAACATTTAAAAAGTTGAAAGAATGATATAGTGAACAAACATATGTCCTCCTAGGTCTTACAATTACTAACCTCATTATTTTTGCCTAATCTCTAGACAGATGAACACATAGACACACATGGCTGAACCACGTAAGAGTAAGTTGCAGTCACTAGAACAGTTTAGCTCTAACATACTTTTACATTCACCTTCCAAAAATAAGAACATTCTTTTATTAATCACAATACCATTAACATAGACAAGAAAATTAACAATTTATAATATCGTCTGATTTCCAGGCCACTATAAAATTTCTCCCAAATGTCCAAAGTACATCTTTTAGATTTTTTTAAATTGAGATAGTAGTCACTCAAGATTCATGCACAGTGCTGAAAGTTATTTCACACAAGTCTTTAATCTAGAATAGCTCCCCTCTAACACATGCTATTTTTAAGAATGTACAGGCTCAGATTCTAAAACGGTATTCTCAAACTGTGATTTAAGTACCACATGCTTAAGTATCACCTGAGAAGTTTTTGGCCTTGTTCTAAATTCACTGAATTAGAATGTTGGGTAGGCCTTTGGGATTCTCAAATTTGAGAACAACAGCTCTAAGACCTGTGAGGGATGATTTGTAATAAATGTCTACCAAAGTCTGCGCACCTGGTTGTTCAAGCTGGGGTGGTCTAATTCCATGAAATGAGCCGTTCATTTTTCTTTTCTTCATTTTTTCACTTGTCTTCTGATTCAAGGCTTGAATCATGAAATATTCCAACTAAAATATTAAAAAAAAAATCTAAATTAAAGGTCCAAAAATTATATCTGACATAATTATTTGTACCCCAAATCATATTTGCCAAATGTTCTTAATGTCAGTGCATTAGCAAACACTTGTAAACAATTTATTTTATCTGTAAAAATGTGTCTAGAAGAACAGATTGTGCCCTGATTAAACATAAGAAAACTTATTTATTCAAGAAGAAATTGTATCTTGAATGATCAAGAAGCCAGGCACTAACTATGGGGCTTTCAATAATTTTCTCAGAGGGCAAGTTTTGCAACTAAAACTAGTGAGATTCAAGGCAAGAATAGATCTGGCTCTATGTCTACAGATGTTCAAATCAGCTAGGAAACTTCACTTTTTTTTCCTTAAACAAATTTCTTTGAAACCTGTCCTTTATTTTACAAATTGAAAAATCTCATCCACATGCACTTATATAATCCCGGGCCTGTGATCTACCTTATAAGGCCTAGGGCAAAAGCTCAAATGGATGTCCACTCATATAGCAAAATATTTCAATGCTATAAAATCAAGAAAACAAACTGTTATATTAATATATATATTTGACAAATACATCATTATAAAGGCCTATCCAGCTAGATGCAGATTTAAATTCTCAGACTCCTCAATAGTTCATTAAGTATAGGAAACTAGCCCCTAACTCCTGAGCTCTAAGACAACCTCTCTCTTCTCACCCCAGCTCCATCCCATGTCTTGAGGAGTTTTTATGCACACAAGTAGACATTGGGACTCCATCCATTCTCCCTTCCCCAACCCTCAGGAAGTCATCCCTCAGTTACTCTCCCACCACCAGGCCTAGAGGTACACAAATCAGTAATGCAGTCCACTTAAGAACAGATCCAAGAAAAAGAGGCTTGCACAGGACCAGGAAACAGGCTCTGGGTCAGCAGGCACAGAATTCAGGAGTCCTAGTCATAACACTGAATAAAACTTCCTGTGCTGGTGGAAATGCTCTTTACTATCTTTATAATCCAATACAGCAGTTCTGTCTACATGTTGCTATAGAACACCTGAAACGAAACTAGAATGCCTGAGGAAATGAATTCCATTTTGTTTTATTTCACTTAATTTCAGTACAAGTAGACACACATGGAGCTATTATATAGATGGTGCAGGTATGGAAGGGAGATAGTACCAGTTCCAGGTGGCACGTCCTGTTGGCTCCACCAATGTGTGGTTTCGGGGTGTGTGTGTGTATGTGTGTGTGCAACAGGACAAAAGGCAGATGCCCCTGTTGCCCGGGTTTGAAAGGAGTACTACACAGCTCTTTATCCCATCCCTGACTTAAACACAGGATTTTTTAAAAATATTTTTTTTAGTTGTAGATGGATACAATATCTTTATTTATTTTTATGTGGTGCTGAGGATTAAACCCAGTGCCTCACACGTGCAAGGCACATGCTCTATCACTGAGCCACAACCCCAGCCCCTTAAAAACAGGATTTCAAATGCCCCTTTCATTCCATCATCTCCTTCATATTCTTATAAATGCCATTATTTCTTACACCCAAGATCTCAGTTGCACAATACTATCCACAAATTTAAAAAGAAATCATTCTGTTCGTATTTAATACTCTTATCAAGTCTTGAATTTAAAAGAAACCAGTATATCTTTCTAGCAACCTTGGCCAATATTCAGTCCTTCTCTGACCCTCACTGCAACATTAGGTATGAGGGAGAGAGAGAAGAAAAGAGGAGAAAGAAGAGAAACAGAAAAGAAATAGTGGGAGTCAGAGAGGAGAAGAGTGATCTTGAGTATTCTAGGCCCATGGGAAGGCAGGAGATCTGCAGCTTCCCACAGAACCAGCCTTCTCCTCCACCAATGAAACCAAATCCAGCCAAGGGAACCTCCAACAAATGAAACAAAACCCCACCCCCACAGTTCCCTGGCATTTATCCACAGACATACATAATTCTTTGAACAAATTAATACTTTTTTAAGAGGGGGTGCAGGGTGGGGGGTTACTGGGGATTGAATCCAGGGGCACTCAAACACTGAGCCATATCCCCAGCCCTATTTTGTATTTTATTTAGAGACAGAGTCTCACTGAGTTGCTTAGCACCTTATTTTTGCTGAGGCTGACTTTGAACTTGAGCTCCTCCTGCCTCAGCCTCCCAAGCCACTGGGATTATAGGCATGCACCACCGCGCCTGGCTAATCATGCTTTTAAAACTAAAACTCTAATTGATGTTCCAGAAAATAGCTAAAAAGATAGCTTGACAAATAATTTCATATATAATGGGAATTTCCACTTACCACTCCTCCAAAATACTTCCCTATGTAGAAGTCATCAAGGCTATGTAGTTCAAGATAGGTAGCTCCCAGCTCTTTAGCAAGGTGGATCCCTTCTGTTGTACTGACACAGCTCCCTCTGTCTGAGGTGCACAGTGGGCAGGTGCAAGGCAATTCTTCTGGAAAAAAAAATTAGTTTGACAACTTTGAAAGTACACAGGGGGGAAAAAGTACACAGACAATCTGATCATTACACGATATACCAGAACCACTATCCACTAGACTCCAAATAAAATGTGTCAAGGATATTCATAAATAAATAAGCATTAGCTACAAAGAGAATAAGTAGCATTTTAGAAAAAAGAATTTTAAAAATAGGTGAATGGATATTACCAGAGCTAGTATAGTAATTAGACTAACCAGCAGTAATGGCAGACTTGTTGCTTATTCAACCTTGACATTCAGAACATCAATATTTCTAGGACAGTAGGAAAAAATCCAAAACTTACAAAGAGACTGCCCACAGAAACCATGAAAAGCAATGAGGTGGACTTTCTTTCTTTCTTTCTAATAAACTTGAAATATAAATATAGTCTCCAAATTTGAATAAACCTTATACTTTTATTTGATGTAATTTTTAAAGCTGCAACCTGTTACTGTCTTTGTGAATTCCAGATAAAGTATATTTTTGGTGGGGAAGGGGATACTGGGGGTTGAACTCAGAGACACTTGAACATGAGCCACATCCCCAGCCGTATTTTGTATTTTATTTAGAGACAGGGTCTCACTGAGTTACTCAGCGCCTTCCTTTTGCTTGAGGCTGGCTTCAAACTTGAGAACCTCCTGCCTCAGTCTTCGGAGCTGCTGGGATTACAGGCGTGTGCCACTGCACCCAGCTTGAAGTACATTTTATTCAAATATTTCATTTCAATCACTTGGTTCTAAAGCAGTCAACTTTTAGAGACCAAATTCAATCAATTTCTATCTTTTTCTTTAAGATTTAAAAATTAAAAGCTGAAGAAATCTTTCAAATGTAAAAAAAAAAAAAAAAAAAGAATTGTCCCAATATTCACAGTTGTAGCTAATACAGATTTATGGCTTGGAAAGTACAGAGCAATCTATTTATAAGAACATTCCCTACTAAGGCTAAAAATATATATTCAACTCCATATTCATCAGCTTGTATTGTTTTGTTTCAGGACTAAAATATGGGTCACTGTTCAAAAGTTAGTCAGGTCAAAAGAATGAAAAGTCATTTGTAGAAATGCCTGTTGTTGCAGATTGGCCTTTCTGGGAAAAAGGCTGTAAGATGGAGATGGGTGTGCAGGAGGTCAACTGGGAGGTGATCTGGGGAACAACTTTTCTCAGGAGTGAGGGATGTGGATTTGGGTAGAAGAAAAACTTGGAAGAACAATGCAGTAGCACCAGAGACCAAGCTATCCTGCAGGGGCTCTGGAGCTCCTCTGGCCTGTCAGAGTGCTCCACATTTGAGAAAAGACAGCTGGGCCTTTGCATCCTATTCCCTAAATCAGTCATTAGGTAAGTGTCATATCCCTGGAGCAGGCACAGCCTTGGGCAAGGGAGCTCCCAATGGTGAAGAGTAAAATTGCCATTACTTGTTCTACCCTCTAAATAAGAATGATATCAAAAAAGGAAAAAAAAAAAAACTAATTTTAACTAAAGAATTAGTGATTCCAAAGACTAAGTAATTTAAAAATTAAGCTTGTTTTCTTCATTTATGTGATATATTCTAATCTGAAGGATATGCTTCACTTTTTCTAAGATCATTTTAGGTTTGGAGCAAAGTTATCAAGCAGAATTTAGTCTCTTCTGAAAAATAATGCATTGGTATTTCACATTCTTTATGAAGCCTCTCTAAACAATGCCTTTGGTTTTCTGAAGACAGAGGCCTTGTTATGCCTACAAAGGTCTCCTTATGTTGATGGAATGTGGTGGGTAGGTAGATCATTTCATTAAACTCCATTTCTGGACAAAAAATCAAACCAAGCCAGTAGTGTTTCCAGGGAAAAAAATGAAGTTAATTTAATATGAATTAAGTTTTAACAAATAATCTTGATTTAAGGGCAAAACACAGCTAATTTTAGGTTTGAGCTAGCTGTATGTAGCTATAAGTGTCTTTCTGACACACTGTCTGAGAAAGCTTGTCCGATTATAGCTAATCCTATCTCCTATATGTCACTGAAGATATTTCTTTATTGTTCACTCGAAAAAAGAAAAAAGAAAAATGCCTAGTCACTACACAACATATTATACTATAACAAGTTGCCACTTAGTCATCTAAAATTCTAAAATATCATTCCTATTTTTTTAAATTTATTTTTTTAGTTGTAGTTGGACATAATACCTCAATTTTATTTATTTATTTTTATGTGGTGCTGAGGATTGAACCCAGGGCCTCGCATGTGCTAGGTGAGTGCTCTACCACTGAACCACAACCCCAACCCAAATATCATTCCCATTTTATTCATTTGTTTTTGCAGTGCTGGAGATTGAACCCAGGGCCATGAATATAGGCAAGAGCTCCATCACTGTTATATTCTCCAGTATAAAACCCAGAGAGTTTTATTTCTTAAAACCTTCATAAGTTTTTTTTTCTCCAATTAACTATTTTGTGATTCACTTCTGAATTTCTCTGACATTTTTCCATATCAATCACCTGTGGGATTTTAAGTAAAAGTCTGATTTGGGTTGGTTAGAAAATGGAGAACCAACAAGATATTTCAGGATTAAATAACTTTACCTTAAGCATTTTATCAGAAACAATCAGAGGACCCAAAATAATTTTAAATTGTGGATTCTTGCAGTCATAGTAGCTCTGGGAATCAGTCCTATGCTTCTTGTTAACTTTGTAGGGTTTTTTATTGTTGCTGTTGCTGTTACATGTTATCTTTTAAGATGTTACCAAGATATTTTTCAAAGGCAAATACAATGTAACTCTAGCATTCAAATGAATGGTATCTCTTTCAAAGTAGTGTGGCTTTGGGAACCTATAGGGTGATTGTTACAATGTTGCCACTGCCTGAAAGTTTTAGAAATTCTTTTTCAAAAATTCTAGCTCAGCAATGTATCAGACTAGGTCAGGGTTTCAAAAATAATAGAGACAGTGTTCCCATGTTCAGAAGTTTGAGGCTATGAAGACAATCAGGTATACTCTGATTAAAAAAATAAAAAGAGATTATCCCTTAAACATAGGTTTAATATTTAGTAAAAGTCAAAATGTATTCAGAGCCAAATATCATGAAGACATCCACATAGTCAAGCTTGTCAAATACATATGTAACAAAAGAAAGACTGGTTATATTTACAGAACAAGTTCTTTAGGAGTTTCCAAGAAAATTAACAGGAGAGTACCCAGCAGTTGCATATACTGAAAGGGATGGGTAAGGGGATGGCAATAAAGGTCCCTGAGCTGAAGAGCCATATTAGCGCTGCAGTTATTTTGTAATCACATCTTATATGGTAAATTAGCTCTATCTTGTTAGTGAAATTGATTTTTTTCACTTAGATTATTCATAAAGCCATCCATTCACTCACTGAACAAATGTTTATTGCATACCTACCACACATCAAGTGTTACTGATAAAAAGATAGGAAGATAAAAGCATAGTCAACTGAACCAAGATAGACATGACTGCAAACAAATACAACATTAATAAGTACTAAAATGAAGGCATACAAAGTTACCATGGGAACAGAACCGAGGAAATTAACTGCCTGGGGAGACTGTGGAAGGCTTCACAGAAAGATAATGATTGAAAGGATGAGTATGAAATTGCAAAGCAGATATGAGAGGTCTATGTGAAGGGGCACTCCAGTCACAGGGTACAGCATATGTAGAGGTCTGCATGTGGGAAATGGAAAACGTATTCATTTCCAGGTTCAAGATGACAAGCTAAGCCCACATTGTGATCTCTCCTCCTGCCAAACTATGAAAATATTAAATAATGCGGGTGGGGGTAGGGAAGCAAGGAGAAATGAAGAAAGGAGAAAAGAAAGAGGAAGGGAGGGACATATGGAGAGAATGTTTGAATATATAGCAACTAAAAAATTAGAGGGGAAATATCAGCTCAAAACACTAGGAGTGCCTTCAAGAATGAAGGCAGATGGCACAGGAATGAAGCAGAGTGCATTGTGGGGGTCCTAGACGCTGCAGCAAGGTGGAATGCTCACTGCTAACAATAGGGGAGGCAAGAACCAGAAGGCCCAAAGGCAACTCACTGGAAACTAACGAAGTACACCAAGAGAAGCAAATAGGCCTAGTGATTCTTGACCTACTCACTTCTGTCCCAATCCCCAGACAGCTACTGAGGAGGAAAAAAGGAAGGCATCAATCTAACGGGGAAAGTACATTTCAAAAGTAGGAAAGTAAAGAATTAATTTTTGAGAAACATCCACATCATGAAACAAAATCTCAGCAGATGGAAAGACTTGGGGTGCATATTCAAAACTAGACAATATTCTAATCAAAACAGAACTACTAAGTCTAATTAATTATTCTAAGATTTTAAAATAAAGTTTTGCAACCTTAAGACAGGAATAAGAAATTATGAAAGACCCAATTAGAGATCTTGGAAATGAAAGTTGTTGAAGTTAAGAATTTAATCAAGCAGAATAGCAAAATAGACCCAGCAGACTAATGCATGAGCTGGGAGGGGGTGGGGGAGGGCCAAGAAAAAATGCAACACAACAAAATAAAGGGATCAGAAAGATAACAGCAGCCAAGACACAGAAGCATCACCAACAGCCTGAGAAGGCTCCTGAAAGAAACAGAATAAAGATCGTGAGACCCAGTGATACTCAAAGAAATGAGAAAGTCAATACTTTCCCAGACCTGAAGAAACGCATTAAGTTCTTCAGGCAGTTCAGGGGGAATGGCACATAAGGCAAAGGGGATTGTTCCTAATGGTTCTAGAAGTAGTGGAAGTTTGAACATGAACAATCTTGTATCTCAGGTAAGATTTTACAATAGAAAGTCATCAACGTGAGATACAAATACTGGACAGAAATAAGGGTTATCAATGGGAACCTGGGATTTAAAAATATAAGTATGAAAACTAACAATAAATATTGGCAAGGATGTGAGGATAAAGATGCATACACCATACATTGCTGGTGGGACTGCAAATTGGTGCAACTACTCTGGAAAGCAGTATGGAGATACCATTTAACCCATTTATCCCACTCCTTGGCATATACGCAAAAGACTTAAAATCAGCATACTATGGTGACACAGCCACGTTAATGTTTATAGCAGCTCAATTCACAATAGCTAAGCTATGGAATCAATCTTGATGCCCTTCAACAGATGAATGGATAAAGAAAATGTGGTACACATACATAATGGAATATTACTCAGCTATGAGAAGAATGAATTATGGCATTTGCCAGTAAATGGATGCAATTGAAAACTATCATGCTGAGTGAAATAAACCAATCCCCAAAAACCAAAGGCTGAATGTTCTCTCAGTTATGCAGAGTCTGAATCATAGTAGCACAATGGGGGGCGGTGCCACAGAATTGGACAGGGTGGAGTAGGGGAAGCGGGGTTGATGGGAATGGGAAAGACAGAAGAATGAATACGACATAACTTTCCCATGTTCATATGTGAATATGAATACACAACCAGTGTTAACTGCACATCATGTACAACCACAAAAATGAATTATACTTCATGTATATATGATATGTAAAAATACATTCTACTGTGACGTATAACTGAAAAGAACAAACAAAAAATATGTTTGAATATATATATATTATATATAGATATTATTGATATTATTATTATATATATAATATCAATCCCTGGCTCTGATCAATGTGCAAGGATTAGAAGCAAAGACACTGAAGTCATGGGTACCCTAGAGCCTGAATTGTGGTTTCTAAATATCATTACCTACCAAAAGGATGCAGAGCTTCTTGAGAACACCTATTTCCAGGGCAGGGACAGCAAAAGTCTAAGGGAATAAGGAAGTGATTCAAAACTGATGAGATATAGTCTGAAAACCCCCTCTAGACAAACATAGGGTAAAGCAAAAATCAGAAGGAATAATCAGAACAACAGACTATAAAATGATGAATTGAAAGAACAAATTCATGGATCATAATGATTCCAAAAGAAAGGTATAGGAGCAGAGAGAGTAGAAAGCTCTATTTACAAAAGAATACCAATAAATAAATGTACAATGTACCATAGAAAATTATAATTTCTAAGCACATGTATGACAACTGAAAGAATAAGGCAAAAATGCTGATCCAGCCCAAATTCTTTAATAACATCAATGTCATGAAAGACATCCCCCCTCAAAACAAACAAAAAGACAAACAAAAATACTATATATATACCCCAAATTATGGGGAACCATCTGAATTAAAAGAGACCAGAGAGATAAGACCAATAAATGCAATGCATAATTTATACTCTGGATTGGAAAAACACACACACACACAAACTATAAAGCACATTACTGGAACAACTGAAAAAATGTAAATACAAATTATATTTTAAATAACAGCATAATAGATAACAGCATGTTAAACTTCTTGCATGGTGATTGCATTATGGCTAATAGGAGAAGGGCCTTGTTCTTGGATGATAAATGCTGAAGTAATTAGGAGTGAAGAAATCACATGTTTACAATTCAGTCTCAAATGGCTCAGAAAAAAATGTGTCCATGTGCATGTGTGTTTATAAATTCTGGGGTTCAGTGTCTTAGTCCTGTCAACCTTCTTAGGTTTGAAATTTTACAAAACACAAGTTAATGAAGAAGGAAGTTCCTAAACAATTCAAAGCACTGAATGTCATGATCTGACTTGTATTCTAGCATAATTATTCTGAAAGAATTATTTCAGAGGCAATCCAAGAATAGGAGGTCAGAGGCCAATTTATCATGAGACTGATAAAGCTTCAACAGAAAGCCTTCTTTTTGTGCTTCCTTTCCAAAGCCTTGGGAGGAACCTGAATAACATATTCTTTCACATGTTGGGTCATATGCTTTTGTCAAATTTGAAAAATAAGATATTTTAACTATGTTTGGCTAAGACCACTGTCTTTTTCTATTCTAATTCAACTTATCTTGTATGAGGCAATTCTGAAGTAATCATAGGCATTTTGGGGATGCTACTAAGGGGAAATTTAGCTTTAGGTTCAGTGTGCTTTTACTTTTGGTTATCCCACTTCTTGGCATATACCCCCAAAGACTTAAAATCGGCATACTATAGTGACACAGCCACATTAATGTTTATAGCAGCTCAATTCACAATAGCTAAACTATGGAACCAACCTAGATGCCCTTCAACAGATGAATGGATAAAGAAAATGTGGTACATACACACAATGGAATATTACTCAGCCATGAGAAGAATGAAATTATGGCATTTGCCAGTAAATGGATGGAACTAGAAACTATCATGCTGAGTGAAATAAACTTCCTCAACATTGGGAATAAGCCCGGGGTACTCTACCACTGAGTTACACCCCCAGCCCCTTTTCCTTTTTTATTTTCAGACAGGGTCTTTCTAAGTGCCCAGGTGGCCTTGAACTTGTGATCCTGCTCTCTCCTAAGTAGCTGGGATTACAGGTGTGCATTATACTTTCCTATTCCATAACTGTCCTAGAATAGGAATGACTTTGAGGAATGCTTCTGACACCCACAGTGCTAACTTATTTGGCATCAGATACTAGAATGCTGAGCTGAAATATGTACACAATATAAACTGGTGCCTGGAGCCAGAAAGATGTACAGAATGAAGAAACATGCTGTTAGAAAAACTGATAATCATTCTCCTCTCTCCAAAGAAAATATCTCGAAGGGGTGATCAAAGACTTCACAGCCCAAAAATATGTAAGAAAATTTACAGAAGTGTTGGGCTATTAAATAGAAATATTTCTAAATGTGGTACTTGACAGACCCTTTGAGATTTGTGAGTTGTCATTCTTTCTTTTCTTATTCATTGTGGGGTTCCCTACCCCAGTCACAAAATTATGTAAGTCTGAGGCCCTATAAAACCTGAACTTTCCTTTTAGGAGATAAAGAAGTCCCTATGAAAGATAATTAAATAACAAGCATTTGAAATCCAGCAGAGATTTAAAAAAAGAAAACAATGGGTTTATGTGTTAGAGTTATTTAAAATGTAAAATTAAAAAAAAAAAAAAAGCTTCTTAATCAACTGGTGTAGGGGACAGGACAGGAGAGAAAGGGGGATCTAGGATGATTCTGGTTTTGGTTGAATTGAAAGATTTTGCATCATTCACCAAGACAAGGAACTCAGCAGTAAGAGGATGCTGTCTATGAAATATGGGTCAGGAGAAAGACTAGAGCAAGAGAAACAGACTAGACAATCACTGTACATAGAAAGGAAGCAAGGGCAACCGACTGGCTAGTTCATGTTCTTGGTTAAAGAGCAAGAGGTGAAGCCAAAGGATGGAAACCTGGGAAACAATTCTATGATGTGTTGCTGCTCATGGAGAGGAGCCCAGGAGAATGCAAGGGGACCAGTAAAAAAAAAGACAGAGAATTAGAAGAAACAGAAAAGAAAGAGTAGCTTTATTAAGCAGAGAGATGTACAAATAATTTCAAAGACAGAATTGTTACTAACATATTAAATTTGGCAATAAAAACTGGCAATCCCAGTGAGAACTTGGTGTGACTATGGAAGTCAAAATGAGACTGTAGTAGTCTGAAGAATGAAAAGGAAGTGGACTCAGGAAGTGTGAATGGTTCTTTCAAGAACCATGGGGTAGGGAGGGGGGATAGGGAAGTAGGATGTGGGGTCAAGAGTGGGTCAAGCTTGCTTTATTTGTATTTACTAATGCTCAACATTTACCTACCTTATGACCCAACAATCCTACTCCTAGGGAACAAACTAAGTATCATGCAAAGGAGAATGAATACATAAATTATGGCATATCCATACAATAGAATAATGTAAAGCAATAAAAACAGCAAACTATAGATAAGCACAACATATCCTATAATTTCATTTGTATAAAGTTCAAGAATAAGTAAAAACTAGTCTCTGTAGTTAGAAGTCAGAATAGCAGTTTCTTCTGAGGAAAGGTGTTATTATCTAGGAAAGAGGCCTGAGAGAACCTTCTAAAGTACTACAGGTGTACTGCCCCCCCCCATCTGTGCAATGGTTGTGTAGACATACACACAGGTACAACTGCATTAAGCTACACTCTATGTACACTAATGAACTTTATATTATTTTCTTTGCTACACCTTAATTAAAAGGTTAAAAAATTTTAATAAATAAAAAGCAACAATTTAATAACAGCTTTACTGAGTAAATATTACTAAGAAGATATGTAAAATACCACCTAATCAAAGTGAATCTTGAGTTGGCCTTAAGAAAAATGACAATAATATACATAGCAGCAGTGACTACAACTGCCCCAACCAACCCAGTCCCTTAGCCACAGAGTAAACTGCCTTTCCTCAGGCAGCAGTGTCAGTGTTTTTAGCTCTCTCATTGTTATCCACCTAAAAATTCTCCCACACTCACATCTTCAAGAGGGTAAGCCATTCTTTTCAATTGGGTAAATCGTTAGACTGTCAAAAAAAAAAAAAAAAAAAAAAAGCTTTCTAGGGCTCAATTTCAGGTTAGTACCTTTCATATGTCAAAAGAACACAACCACTGAATCCTTTATTACTGGGAAGAGCAAGTTAAAAGACAGATTTGTACCCATCAGAATCAGAGCAGAAGCTTTCAATCCTCTCCTTTGATGTGTTCTTATCATCAGATGATGAAGAGATAACAACTGGCATTTGAACCCATAGTCATTTGGGTAAAATTAAAAAAAAAAACTATACTAATCATTAATAAACTTAACTATTCAAACTTAATGTGGTACCTGCAAGCCAATTATAAAAAAGAAAATTAAATACTTACCATTTTGTCTGGTACCAACAGCAGCAATGATTACTGGAACAGAATTTAATGCTCTTTTTATCACTGGAATATAATTGTCCTTTACTTCATGGAATGAAAACTTGTCATTAACGTTGTATTTGATCACAATGATGTCAGCACTCCCAATTAGGTTTCGAGAAGTGTACCAATCACTGTCAAAAATGTCCTAAACCAAAATGTAGACAGTAAACTTCAGTCTACTTATCTTCAAATCCATCATGAAATTAAATGTAACATATTAGTCTAAATTTATTTGCTATACTTTAATTTTTGGAATTTACATAAATTTATTTTTAAACACATAGCTATATAAAATTTAAAATGTTTAATTTTTTTAAAAAGTTTTCTTTGTTTAGCCTAGATAAGTATTATGGCTCAACATGATATCTAGATGATAACTAAGAGTTTGATGAAAGAAGCAACCCCTTTCAATTTCTATGCTTTAAGAATAAGCACTTCTAAAAATAATACTGTTTCTAATCACCTAACATTCTGGAATGTTACATTTTTATTATAAATGAAAAAGCAACAACAGTGTGAGTAATGATGCTTCAAAGGATTTTCTGTGACCCAGTTTGTTTTGCTTGTATAAATTAAAAATTAAAAATAAGTCTTTCTAGTTCTGAAATTCTTACTTTTTGTATGCTAATGAAAATATTTAAGTTTAGAATTGAGACCATAAGTAATTTATTATGGACCCTACACCTTAAAATTTAGTGCTCTGATATGTTAAAAACAATTTTTCAAAGTTTTTATACAAACAGTAGTATGTGGAAAATATCTTTATGGATCTTAATTCTACTACCAAATATATACCAATAACTTTCTTCTCATATTCTAATTAACCATTAATCATAATTCATCCTTACATTTGGCCTTTGGTATAGTTTTCTGGGATATAATACAGTCAGTCTAAGGAAATAAGACAGCTGGTTGACCAACTGTTTGGCTATGAAAGTTTGCAGTATGAGTTTGAAATATGAGTTCAAAACAGGGTTAACAGTATTTGAATCAATCAATTTTTAAGATCTATGTGACAGACTTTTATTCTGTGATAGAAAAATTTTGGAGTGTTACACAGAGTTGCCCTTGTGCAGAGAGAGCTGACCAGTGGCCCCCCTTACCTATACCCTGCCAACTGACCCATCTCTCACGAGGGCACTCCAAGTAATGAGAACTGCAGAATATCTAGACATGAATACCCCATTGAAAGTGGAATAGAGCGAGCATTTTTGAAGGAAGTTTAAATGAATCAAAAGAGAAAGAAAGAAAAAAGCAAAGAAGAAAGACGCTCAATACCAAAGACAAAGGAATGAACTTGGTAGAGAGTATAATGGGGTGAGTTGTGGGGAGTGATGTGGGACACAGCCCAAGAAAATGTGAGCACTTCCCAGCAGAACACTTCACTAATTTCCAAATCCCAAACCACAAACCCCATACAATTCCAACTATATCTGTTAAACAGTATTCAAGTTCAAAGTACACAAGTATACCAGAGTACGTAAGAATAACAAAAAGGGTAAATTCATATAAATAGGATTCATAACTAAATATAAGTGGAACCAATATTAAGCATTCATCTAACTCAGAGAATCTGGGGGGGGGGGGTGGAAGCATCTGCTTTCAACATTCCAAATAGGTCAAAATTCCAGAGCTACTAGAGAGGTATACAGGAAAAGGAGACATTTAAGGAAAATGTCATGGGAAAAAAAAAATAGGTTTGGGCATCATTAACTCTGTAGTATTGTTTATAAAGACCACAATACTTTCATTTGTTAATAGAAACCAGAACTTCAGATCCTGCACAAGAAAACTGTGAATGTATTAGCTCATTGCTTTTTATAAAATTTTTTTGGTAAACAGGAAAAGATGTAGAATTGTGAAATGAAGTAATAATGTAACTGCACAAAAAAAGGGAGTGGATGAGAGAAATACTAAATAATGAGCTGTTATTTGAAACACATTTATTTAAAAAGTGCCAAGTACATATGGCCAAGGAGACAGAACAAGGCTAAGGATTTACAGAAAGTAACTAGGGAATAGAAGCACAACCATCTGATCCCAACTCCAAGGAGCAACAACACATTTCTTCTCAAGCTATATCAAAGAGAAAACACTCCACTGGTTTCTAGAATTATGAAGGAAATACTCTTCCATCTCTTGTAAATCAATTCCAGGATTTCCTCTAGGGGATTATGCAAGACTTGGAACCACATTTAGAGAATGGAACTCATCTTTAAAAAAAAATAATAATTTTTTAAAAAAAATCTGAATTTCTATAATGAAACAAAAAATTTATTCTACTTGATTGTGGTAGTAGATAATATATTTGTGTGATAACTAATATCACTGTTCCAATCTGGTGTATTGGTTTAAATCTTGAAGGACATGAGAAAACTTTACCTTTGCTTAGCATAAGTGATACATGACTATACTAGAGTTACAATAAACATTCTATTATTATAGCAGATACCACTTATGGAGCACAGTCTCTACACTTAGAACTTTACATTTACTATCTCATTTACTCCTTAGCATAGCTGTAGGAGGCAGAGATTATTATGATTAGTCTATAGTCAGGTAAGACTGAGAAAAGGTAAATGATTTACCAAAGACAGAAAGGCATTAAGTGGCAATGTGGGGTTCTGAAGTCAGTTCCTCTTGATATCAAAACTTGTGTTCTATCTGCTCTGCTGCATTTAACATTCTGATTCAGTACATATGTCAATAACACCTGATTAAATACCCTTAACATCTCTGATGGGCTTTACTTAACACGTAGAGAAGAAAAGCATCTTAGAATGAGAAACTCTGCAAATGTAATCTACTATGTTTGAAGATCCACTATAACCTAGAAAATTACACCTAGTTACAAACTTGGTTCCACCAGAGTTTTAACTAAATGAAGTGATTAGCATAATAAACCATAATAATCAGTATATGACAAGAATCCAGACTACAGAGGCTTACTTTATCCATTTGGAAGATTTCATCCTACTATACACAATACATGGGATCACAAGCATTGTCTGCTAAATTAACAACATAAACAGGAAAGGGTTAACGGCTCAAATTAAAAACAGAAAAAGTAATACTAACATCCTAATTCTGCTTATTTTGTTTTATGTACATTTATTTGTTCACTAAACATTTGTTCAACTGCACATTGATCCAATAAGTCTTAGAGGCTATATGATCTTTCATAATAAAAGGGCCAAAAGTAAAAGACATGCTTCATTTGCTTGCAAAGACTCCATTCTTCTTACGAACAGCAGCATCACTGTCATAGTTAGGGGCTTACTAGCATCCCACATATTGAAAAGCCTGTTGTAAATTTATTTCAGCATACTAACAAAAATTTCCTTTATCTGAATATTTATATGAGCAAGCAGTCTTTTCTTTCCATAATATGGAAATTTGCATAAGAATTTTTCTAAGTTCATTCTATACATTTCTTTAAAGGTATGCTAATATAGTTTCATTAAAATTGCTGTTCAACTGTAAAATCTCACAGAGTAGTTTATATTCTGTGACACTAAAATTTATATATGTGTGTGTGTGTGTGTGTGTGTGTGTGTGTATTCTTAGACACTGAAGTTTCTTCTGCATAAGTTTTTTCTGTACTCTTTAGCTGAAATATATTTAACAATTAGTAAAAAAATCAGACATTCTTGAATTAAACTAAATGAAAACATTTAAATATAATGTTATAGTGTACTGAAAATATTTATGTGTGTCAAGAAGTAGATTCCTTTGTCCTTCATGATACATACAAGAATCAGGCTGAATTTTATCCATTTCACTACAACTTCATTTAATTATCACAATCATAAAGATTTTTTTAAACTTCAAACATCATTAGTTACATTATTTCTATTTATGAGTCATTAAAATCAAAGAACTGCATAGAAAAAGTATTTGTATTATTAAAATTTTTAAAAACTTTCAGAGGTTATCAGTGCTATAAATGAGTCTTTAAAATTAATTCTCAGTCCCTGTCTTTCCCCATCTTTACATACTATTTTTGAACTGTCCAGTGAAAAGTATTTTTGCCTACACTGAGCTATAAGAGGGCTGTATTTATAGAACACTAGTATTACCCTATCCTCCACAGGGTAGGCATGAAAAAACATTGCTCTTTGCTAGTGGAACTTGGTGACCCTGTCCTTTGGGGCTGGCACATTCAACTGTCAGTTGTCTACCAAGGAAAATCCCACAGTCGTGAAGTGTACGACTAAGTGCTCCACGTTCCACTGGGGCTTTTTACCTTATAGCCAAGTTCTTTGACTGGGCTGCCCCGTGCCCCACTAAACAAAGACTACAGATGTCCCCCCCAAATGTTTTAAAACTCTACCCATGTAAGGCAAACACTCCGCGTTCGTGGAACTGGGAAAAGTAGGGAGAAGAAAATTTTAAAAAAGCTCCTTCAGCCTCAGCACGGAGCAGCTGGTGTCCCTTACCCACACGGGACAGTCGTGAACCACGAGCTTGACGTTCCCGAACGCACTGGCCTGATACTCCGTGAACACTGGACGCGCGACCGTGCTGGTCGCGTTCAGCAACAAGCTGCTTTCGTCCCCTGAGACCAGAGGGCTTCTCCCCAGGTAAGTGCGGATGAGCCCCGACGGCCGATTGTCCTGGTGGAACGCGTCGCCTTCGTTCCCCAGCGCCACGATGTGAATGGACCTGCACCGACAGAGAGGGGGACCAGGGGAGAAAAGCAGCACGGTCAGCGCGCCAGTCCCTTTCATCCGAACAGGAAGTGGCGGGGGCAGCGCTCAGCGAGGGTGGGCGCGAGCCCCAAGCCCCAGGGCGCACCGCACGCATTCGGGCTACAGACAATGGCAGGACTTCGACGCGTACGTACATGATCTCAAATTCAAGGGCAGGGCGGCGATTCGGAGAAAACCAGCTCCTCACGGCCTCTCGGGGCCAGTCGGTGGCGTGTATACCCGCAAGCCGCTCATCCCCAGCCGCGACCCCCTGGCGCGCCTCCACCACTGCGCGGCCGACGCAGAGCGGGGCCGCGTGAGCCACTCAGCCAGCTAGCGAGCGAGCCGGGGGCCCCAGGGCTGGGGGCGTGTGAGCGCAGCCGAGTGCACCGTGCCAGTCAGGAAGTGCTGGGGAACATCGCCGGCGGCCGCCGCCGCAGTGAGTCGCCGAGCGCGGGGCAGGTCTGCAGCCCCGAGAGGATTCAGCTGACCGCAGCCCGTGTTCCGCCGCGCCTCCCTGGCGGGGCAGCTGTCGCCTCCTACTGCTGCTGCTGCTTTTGCTGCTGCTCCTCCTCCTCCTGGCAAAGAGGGGGTAGAAAAAAAAAAAAAAGGGCCTCCGCCCCCTCGGCCGGCTGGGCCCAGCACGTGCCGGCCGTGGGAGTCGGGTGGACGTGGGGGACGCGCTGCCCGCTGAGGCCTTGGACCCGGGCGGTGGCGGCCGGATACAAAGGAGCGGCCCGCGCGGGGCGCCGTGGAATATAAATTAATAAATACAACGCCTGAGTCGGAGAGCTCCCGGCCGCCAATCCGCCAGCAGCAAGTTTGCTCAACTCGAAAGGCTGTAACCAGAGCCAGGAAAGGGGGTGGGGCGAGGAGGCCCCCTCTCACTCCGGACTGGGAAAAAAAAAGAGGTTAGCGAAACTAGGGACTCCAGCCAGTTTGCCGTTCCAGCAATCCCGCCCCCCCACGCTTTGGCCTTGGCGGAAAGTGTTTTACCACGTCTGCCGCTTTGTCATTTGTCAACATGCGCTACAGCTGTTTTCTAAAATCATACTTGTGAGAACAAAAATAAAGGCAACATTCATGCTGCTGCTGCGAAAAAGGGTTCTTTGTTCACACACCAATTACTTTGCAAATGTTGCTTTGGGGGATTATTTACTATTTCAAGCTATATTTGACATACTTTTGCCAACATGCAGATTTTAAATACTGGGATTTTTAGTGTAATATTTTTTGAAGGAAGTTTGTTAATTTACTTGGAGATTTTTCAGTACACATTATGGCTACATATTTAATAATAGTTCACAAACCAACTGAAAAAATAAGCATCGCGTTAATGCAAGGATACTTTAGATTCTTTCACCATGACACACTGTAGTAAAGATGGTGCCTGTCCAGTCCCTAAAGGGCTTCAAACTTCTTCCGTGCAAATGAACGCGGGGACTACTGCTAATACCAAGGGGACAGGGGTTACTCTGCAGCTTCTCCATAAATACTAAAATTCGCACAAATACTCTTGTGCTAAAAGAGTTCATTGATCCTTTTATTTATATTTATTTTGCCCTACTTTAAAACTGGGCTGTTTCTTTTCTCACCAGAGCAATGTTTTGAGTGTATGACGAATAAAAAGAAAAGGTCGGGGAGGCCTTTGGAATGTCAACAGATTTTTATTATGGACCCTTATTTCAGCTGAAAATAGTTTAATAGTTTTTTTTTACCGCTAAGTGGTCAAAGAGATTTTTTTAAATTAATTTCCCTTTGCACCTAAGTATAATTTCTTTTAATCTCTAGAACCTTAATCATCTTAAAAAGTTCAAGCATATACTGTCACCTTTTCTCTCCAGTAAATAAAAAAATGTTTTCATCAATCCCCTCCAGTTACCGACAAGGCAAACAAAAAGACAATAGAATGGCCAGAGGATGTGGCCTATGTCTGTAATACCGGTGAACTCAAGGCTGAGGCAGGAGGATCACAAATTCAAGGCCAGCAAGACCGGGTCTCAGAGCACCACCAAGTCCAATCCCCAGTACTGTTAAAGCTGTTTACCGGTGAGGAATCCTTGCTTCCCCGATGCTGAAGTATAACACCAGAGAAGCATGCAGAGGCAAGTTTAGAGTGGAAAGTAAAAGCTTTATTAAAGAACCCCAGAAAAGACTTCTCTGACCCAAGAGGTGGAATCCTTGGAAGAGGGAGCTTTTCCTTTTTTTTTTTTAATATTTATTTTTCAGTTTTCAGAGGACACAACATCTTTATTTTTATGTGGTGCTGAGGATCAAACCCAGCGCTCTGCGCATGCGGGGCGAGCACACTACCCCTTGAGCCACATCCCCAGCCCCAGGTCTTCCCTTTTTTTATAGCTAAGGTTTACTTTCAGATTTCCTCCATTCCTGTCGCTTGCATTTTTGTCCTTTGTTCTGTTTTCTTGCAGTGATGGAATGTAGGTGGGGAAGGTCCAAAGGGTGGAAGACAGGTGGGCCAGAAGAACTTCTGATTAGCATCTCTGGGTTTGCTGGGAGCTGCTTCATTAACATTTCTTTGGAAAGGGCTCTGGACCTTGGGGACATTTTCAATTCCCCTTTTCCTAGACTCCATTCTCAATATAGCCTTCATTACTCCATATTAGATCCGATTTACCTAACTACACTATCTATCTTTAAATCTGTCTTCAGTACCACAAAGGAAAAAAAAACCAAAACAGAATGTGTAAATGGATAAGGAAAACAAGTATATAAATTAAATAAATAAATATATTAAATTTATAAATTTCTCCTTCCTTCTTTTTTTTTTTTTTTAAGACACATTCTCACTTTGTTGTCCAAGCTACTTTCAGACTCCTCTCTCCATGATAGCTGGGTCTACAAGTGCTGGCCAATTCATTGGCCTGGCTCAATGAATTGTTAATGAGCCTTTAAAAGTGAAGGCAATACTATCATATCCTACAACATGGATAAATCTTGAAGACATTGTGCTAAGTGAAATAAGCAGTCATAAAAAGACAAATGCTGAATCATTCCACTTACATTTAGTATTTAAAGTAGTATTTAAAGTAGTCAAGCTCTCAGAATCAGAAAGTAGAACAGTGTTTACCAGGGCTGGGGGAGGGGCAAAAAAGGAGTTGTTCAGTGGGTGGAGATTTCCTTTTTTTTTAAGTTTTTATTTATTTTTTATCATAATTTATTATATATAACAGAAGAATGATTTTCAATTCATATTACACATATAGAGCACAATTTATCGTATCTCTGGTTGTATTCGAAATATATTCCCACCATTTATGTCTTCATACATTTACTTAGGGTAATGATATCCATTTCATTCCACCACCTTTTTTTTTTTTACCCCAATGCCCCTCCCTTCCCCTCCCACCTCTTTGCCCTATCTAGAGTTCATCTAATCCTCCCATGCTCCCCCTCCCTACCCCACCATGAATCACGGAGTTTCCCTTTTACAAAATGAAGAGTTATAGAAATCAGTTACACAACAAAGTGCATATTGTTAATATTATTATGCCACTAAAACCTAGTTAAAATGGTAAATTGTGTGGGTTTTTTGTTGTTTGTTTTTGATTTCTTTACCACAATGAAAAACCTATAAGAACAAACAAAAAGACACAGATGTGTGATAACTAGTAAGTAGCTGGAGGGAGAAAGCATTAATTTTTCCTTCAGTTAGAGAGAGAGAGAGTATATATATATATATATATATATATATATATATATATATATATATAGAGAGAGAGAGAGAGAGAGAGAGAGAGAGAGAGAGAGAGACCAGGCCTCTTCTGGATAGGTATAGAAGATACTAAGATAGATCTCAGTCTTTGCCCTTAAGAAGCTAAGTCTATTAATGGTCACTAGATCATAAATATTAAGATACTCAATCCTTTGGAAAATATGCTGTTTCCCTTAATAATTATGTTACAGGCTAATGCATTCAGTAATAGGGTATGTAGGAAGTACAAGAATAAATTTCAGTTACCGTAAAGAGATCTGTGCTGTTTGTGTCATCAGAGAGAAGTTCATAGGGGAAGTAAACATTGTCTTGGGTCTTAAAAGATGAGGAAGAGTTTCTAGATTTGGAAGAGAAAGAGGTTGGAAGAGAAGGAATATTAAAAAGAACTGGACAGCTGGGTACAGGGCTCATGCCTATAATCCCAACTACTTGAGAGGCAAAGTCAGGAGGATCCCAAATTCAAAGTCAGTCTCAAAATGAAATAAAAAGGGCTGCCAGTGTATCTCAGCAGTAAAGCACTTGCATAGCATGTGGGAGTCCCTGAGTTCAATACCCAGTACCACAAAAAGAAAAAAGACAAAAAAAAGAAAAAAGAACTGGAGAGATATCTCATGCCAAATGCCAATCACATGCAAAGGTATTGGGTCTTACATGATCACAGTTTATTCACAGAACAACAAGAAGTGAAATTAGTGCTTGTGTTGGGGTTGGGGATGTGGCTCAAGCGGTAGCGCGTTCGCCTGGCATGCATGTGCCTCAGGTTCGATCCTCAGCACCACATACAAAACAAAGATGTTGTGTCCGCCGAAAACTAAAAAATAAATATTAAAAAAATTCTCTCCCTCTATCTTTAAAAAAAAAAAAATAGTGCTTGCATGCACAGTTCTATTTTAAGGCAAGTAGAAAAAAGAGTAGAGGAGGCTTCCCAGGGTGTTTTCAAAGTCAAACCCCTTGATGCTCAAGTTATAGTTTGGGAATCCCTGATCTAGATTCTCTCCCCTCCCGTATACATAACAAACCCTGGCTAGTTGTTCACCAAATCCATTTTCTCTTCCAAAATAGCTAACCTACATTTCCTAAACTTTTGGAATCATGGTAAGTTCTCACTAATTGGATGTGATCCTACTACACAATTAAGAGAAGACATTTCTTCTCTACTTTCTTATGTCCTTCTATCTCCCAACCAAATGGAGCTAGGTCAGCCTTGAATCATATTGGAGGACACTGGCACTGCAGTGTGGAACCAGTCCCTGAATCGCTTGTTACAGCAGAGCCTCCTCACAGCATGCGTTGCACTGTGACATTAGTAAGATTTAGATCTTTGTTGAGTTCTGTCAGACATTTTCAGGTCCATTTTTATAGGAGCTTGTGTTACTTGTCAGCTGATTGCATAGCACAGATGGTCCATTTCCTGAATCTTAAAGATACTTTTCATAATTATCTTGAGATCACTTTTTAAGAGTTATTTTCCTTTTATTTTAAATTTTGTTTGATTTATATTTTTGTAGTTTCCCTTATTAGCAGCATTTTTTTAATTATTATTTTTATTGAAACAAATTGTAACAAATTAGATTATCATGTCTTCAACCTCAAGGCCACTGGGGAACACACAGAAAAGGATTCTAGACCAAACAAGTTTCTCCTATTTTAGATGCTAAAATACCTCCACCATTTCACATTCACTCTGTTAGACCTCTTTATCCCAGAATAGATGCAGTGAATAGTACATGTGAGGTAACTAGTGAGTTATTACTGGTCCCCAGATTTTGAACATGAACATATCAGCCTTTGAAAGCATAACTGGTTCCTTAATGACTAGAGGAAACAAATGTTGGTGAGGGCAGCCCTAGAGAGGTAGACTTGGCACAATTTTTTTTCTGTTTTTCAAGGAAACTAGGTTTTCACAGAGTAATCTTCAAGTCTTTCCTGAGAAGGGGGCAGAAAAAGGTAAATAAGCAGAGGTCTGAACTCTTATGCCCTATCACATTAAAGTTGACAAGAGCAGTTTTATTGTCATTGTTTCCTTTAAAGATTACAGTTTCTTTTTTTTTTTTTTAAAGAGAGAGTGAGAGAGGAGAGAGAGTGAGAGTTTAACATTTATTTTTTAGTTCTTGGCGGACACAACATCTTTGTTGGTATGTGGTGCTGAGGATCGAACCTGGGCCGCACGCATGCCAGGCGAGCGCGCTACCGCTTGAGCCACATCCCCAGCCCCAAAAGATTACAGTT